AAATAATTCTTTTCAGTTTGTGGTAAACATTGACTAGGTGAGGAGCCTTTTCCCCCTTTTCTACTAGTGATCTGGTACCATGTGTCTTAAAGGCTGGGGGTCAAAGTATGAAGCAGGCTGGGAGGAAAGCACTAGAACAATCAGGCTGGATGAACATGCTTCCATATGACATCAAAAGCAAGGCACTTCAAAGTCTGCTTTAGCAATGTGAGTTTTGTGAACTGAAATCTCTTAAAGTGGATTATAAGATATAGAGTTCTTACAGTAGCCAGAGGCTGTAGGGAAGTGTAGGTCTAGCAAAGGGATGTCCATGTAACATCAGTCACTCTAACACTGCAACTGCTTTCCCCATTTCTGCCTAGCATAGGACAGCTGTGATTTTTTTCTCTAATTTTTTTTTTTCAATTAAATATAAAACAACAACAAAAAAATCTAGACCTTCAACTAGATGGTGTTTGTGTGTGTCTGTAAATGCATCTGCAGTCATGGATTAAAATTGTATCTGTCTCAAGTTTTAAGTTAACTAAACTTACCTTCAGAGTATCTGACACTAAATAAAAATACTTAATTTCTCAAGCATCTATTAAACTTTTGTGGCTAGTTTGGCTTGGTCATTAGTACAATTGGCTTATAGTTAATAGCTCTCTTCTAAGCCATAATGTTTTTTGTAACTTCAGGTGATAGACATGAATGATTATCAGAGGCGGAGATTTGCTTCACGTATTATTGACAGCTTGTTCAATACTGTCACTGATAAGAAGATTGCTATCTTAGGATTTGCATTCAAAAAAGATACTGGGGACACAAGGTGAGAAAGTGAATTCTATTAATTAACATGGATTCCCTGCACTAGATACAGCAGCTAAACCCCACAAGTTCAGTTCTGTTAACAAAAACAGGTCAGATATGGGATCCCTAACCTCTTTTGAATCAATGATTTGTATTATAGTGCTTCTTAAATGGGTGAGACAGTTGATTCTTGATCTCTACAACATACCTGACTCATTCAGAAATTAAACTTGTTCTATTTAGTCCCTAACTTGCAAAAGTAACAGCTGCTTCTTGAGTCCTTCCAGTAAAGAATGCTAACACTTTTGCAGCTGACTCAAATTGCTATTAGAAGCCAAAATTCCATCTTTGTTTCCCCAAAGATGGCTTTTTTTTTTTTTTTTTTTAAGAGACAGTCTTGATACAATTCTCTCCAACTACAATTTGCATGACATATTTAGGAGTGATGCCTTGTTACCTATGGTCAGTAGCAGTACTGGGATTTGGTACCTATCTCTTACATGATTCAGCAAAAGAGATTCAAACTTTTTTAAATTACTCTCTTTGGCCTCCCTCAAGACTTTTATTTTGCTGCTGGCATAGATTATTGCTAAGACGTTTAATGTAAAACCAGCATTGAGCCTCACAACAATTGAAGATTTCTATTAAAACATACCAGCTGGTTCTTTAACTGTTTAATTCTCTCCTGTAGAGAGTCATCTAGCATCTACATTAGCAAGTATTTAATGGATGAAGGAGCAAAGCTCCATATCTATGACCCTAAAGTACCAAAAGAACAAATCATCTTGGATCTCTCACATCCAGGTGTCTCAGAAGACAACCAAGGTAAGGATGCTTATATTTCTATGCTCACTATCCTCATCCTACTGTAGCCAGAAGAAACTCTATTCTCAAAATACACAAAGTCTATTTAAATATTATGTATTCATTTTCACCATGGAAATGATTGCTGTTAGTTACACTTATCGAAGTAGAAGATTGACCTAGCTCAGAAGATTACTGTAACTCTTCTCTCTTTCCCCTTTGTTCTTATGGGCTAATGCTAATTCTGTATATTGTATATTTTTCTTCTGACAAATGCTCACTTGAATATATAGAAAATAATGTTCTCTCTGTGTAAGTTAGGGAAAGACAAGCAAGAACATTCAATTGTAAGAGAGACTAGTGTTCTGTGAGCTCTCTTATGCCCTGAGTCCTATCTTGTCTGCTTATGTAAAGTAGAAGTAAAGAAATAATTCTGGGATTCACTGTAGAGCATCCTGCCCTGTATCACCTTCTCATTTATCATTGCTTCCTAATTAATCTGTTCCTTCAAATTGGAAGTTTTTAAAGTAGTTGTCTTTGACTAGAAGTCTCTTGGAGAAACAAAGGGTTTTTGGGACTCCTTTCCTTACTTCCCTTATGTGGGAGGGACAGGCCAGTGATGGTGTGTGGTTAGGGGAGAAGACCTAGATCAAGTTGTTTCCAAAAGTGAGGAAAATGGCCTGTGATGAGGAGGGTGTGTGTTACCTCACATCTCCTTGAATTAGAGGGTGAGGGGAGGGCTGCCTTTAGGCAGCTACAGAGGCAAACAAATGCAGCTCATAGTGTACACAGACATTTAACTCACAGTTCACACCACAGTAAATAAGTGTTAAGTACTGATACTGTACAAACAGTGACCTTGGTAAGAGTTGGCATTTGATCAGTTAATAGTTACTCCCAATTCTAGAGATGCTTTTGATTTGACTGTGTTCTTTAAGTTTGAATGCTTAACTTCAAACACTTAAGTGCCTGGATTCTATCTGTTCATATGCTGTATACAAGCTGCTTTCATCAAGTAAAATCAAAGTGACAAATGTATTGACAGAAGACATGTTTAAAGAATCTTTGAGTAGGGTGACAAAGGAAAATCTTGTTGGGGTGCACCAGATTTTTTGCAAAGGATATGTGCAGGACGAGGCTTTATTTTCCTTCTATTACAGTGTCTCGGTTGGTCACTATAAGTCAAGATCCATATGAAGCCTGTGATGGAGCTCATGCCCTTGTAATTTGCACTGAATGGGACATGTTTAAGGTAAAAATGTCACATTCATCAATCTTCTTTTAAGTGAAGAATAAAAGATGGTGTTAGGCTACTTATTTCTTGTGTCTGCTTTATTGCTTTTCACAGGAGTTGGATTATGAGCGTATTCACAAGAAGATGCTGAAGCCTGCATTTATATTTGATGGTAGGAGAGTTCTTGACGATCTTCATAATGAGCTCCAAGTCATCGGCTTTCAGGTAAACAATTTGATGCTGATGCTTCTGTAGTTTATTTAATCCTTCTGCTTTTGCTCATTGCAGTGATTGAATAGCAAGGAGAGGGAAACTGTTGTCTTCATGAGAGGCTTTAAGTCTAAATCAATTTTTCCACTAACACATTCACTACCTTCTGTGCCTGCTGTTTTGAAATCTCTTGTTCTTTTAAAAGAATCAAGCTATGTTAGGCTATGCTATCAATACTCAGTAGTATAAGCAAGTCTTGAACCACTTCTGGCAGACAAAGAACTTGACTAAAACTACAGTTACCAAATCCTTGGACAAGACTACAAGTAAATCAGCAAGACAAATTGGATGTATGTTTTAGTTGTTTTATGTAGTGTATTCCTGAGTACGCTGTTTACTTGCATAATGACCACAGATTTTCTTCTTTCTTTTTTCTTTTTATACCTGCTTGAACAACATAAGCTTGTTTACAAGTAATTTAATTAAAAATTGCTGTAACCAGTCAACTGCTGTGATGATAACAGTGAAGTTGTTATAGGCAAATATGGCATGCTTGCTTAAACAACTCTTTTTCAGAGTGTGCTGAGGTAACTTGTATGTCCATCTTGAGAATATTCATTAACTTTCTGCTAAACTTATTATTTTAAATAGTTAAAGTATTCTAAGTTAAACAGTTTATCTTTTGGTGCTTTGTGTCTGCCCTGCAGTACTTTCTTGGTGTAAGAAAGACAGAGCTGTTGAAACAGGTCCAGAGGAGGGTCACCTCTCCTCTGCAGGAAGGCTGAGGGAGCTGGGCTCCTTCCACCTGGAGAGGAGAAGGTTCTGAGAGCACCTCATTGCAGCCTTCCAGAACTTGAAGGGAGCTTATAAACAAGAGGGAGACCAACTTCTTAGATGGTATGGTAGAGATAGGACAAAAGGAATGGTTTTAAACTAAAAGAGGGGAGACTTAGATTGGATATTAGGAAGAATTTTTTTACTCTGGGGATGGTGAAGCACTAGAACAGGCTGCCTGTAGAAGTTGTGGATGCCCTATCCCTGGAGGCATTCAAGGCCAGACTGGATGGAGCCCTGGGCAGCCTGATCCAGCCCATGGGGTGGGCTTCAGGGTTCCTTCCAGTGACACTTAGCAAGTATCACAGGAAAGATGTTTTTACTTACTGGTCATCTGAACTATTTATTTCTATTTTTTGATGTCTTGTCCTCTGTAAGCCCCACTCCTACTAATTCATCCTACCAATTTTCGTTAATCTAATGTAAAATTTATCAGAAATCTCCCTTTCTGAATCTTGTAGGGCCCTAGTTTCTTTGTATGTCTTAACTTTCTCTTAAACAGTTAACTGTCTTTAGCATTGCAGAGGAATTATTTCAGAAACGACCCACTCCCTGAAAGAGGGTGGAAGCTTTTCTTTATTCTGATTTACTGGATAGAGATCTCTAAACAAAGGAGGCTTGAAAACACACTTTCTGAATACCCAGTAACATTTGATGGCATTATTTATATATGCCATCGTGGAAGCTGGGGCACATGAAACTTAAATTTTCAGGATGCAACTCTTTAAATCTCTACATGGGAACAAGTGAGAGGCTGATTTTTTTCTAAATTCTTTCACTTGTACTCTCAAATTGCCTGTGTACACAACATTCTTCATAGCTTCTAGTGTTCCTCAAAAGTAGTTGTGACCTGGATTTAATTAGTAAACTTCCCTGTCACTCTGCCTATGTGACTGTTAGTTTGCCATGCTCACTTGCTAAATGTGCTTTTTTTTTTTTTTTTTTTTTTCCCCCTTCAGATTGAAACAATTGGGAAGAAGGTGTCAGCCAAAAGAATCCCTTTTGCTTCTTCTTGTGAAATTCCAAAGTTCAGCCTGCAGGACCCACCTGTCAAAAAGCCCAGAGTATAATGTTTAATAGGTACTGAAGGAATTCTGTCACCTTCTTAGTGATAACTGTAACCCTATGCTTTTTTTTTTTTTTTTAAGGAAAGATATTTTTTCATAAACTGCAAACCAATTTTACACTAGAAAACACTACCTGGTACACATGAACTCAGCGTATTTTCAAATCTCTATTTTTCTAGCAATTTTGGTTACTGAGGATGGTACAAACCTGTTTTTAATAATGAATCAACCTTTAAGAGGAAAAGTTACGCTCAAGCTACAAACTTCTGCTTTCAGAAGTGTTCCTACACTGCACTTTAAGTCTAAATGCTCAAGTGATATGAGTACAAAAGAAATGGAACATCTGTTTTACTTTAGACCAGTTATAGACAGTGATCAGGAACTCAGTTGGTCTCACTTTTTTATATTGTCATTTGGGGTAATTCTTTCCCCTTCCATGCCTGTTTTAACTAGTGATGGAGTCAAAACATGAGTTCTATGTGAATTTTGGTAGTTCTGGGTTGAGACCTAAAACAGCTGACTGCAACTATGTTGCCCTGATCCTGATTAGGATCAGTGGGTACTGATGCAGTCTGAACTGCATCTGTTGGGTGCCAAGTGGCTTCTGCAGATGTCACATACTTGTTGGCAGTGGAGTAGTACCTATAAGCCAATCCACTGGCTGATCTTGTTTCTGATTCTTGGTTCTTGCCTACATTCCATATGCAGCACATAAATTACTGATTTGATCAGGTTCCTGGGGCATGATTTTCATAAATTACCACAATACAACTTTCCTTCAGCAGAAGAGCATTCTGCCTGCTGCTTCTTCAAACACAGAATTTGAGCAGACATACCTTGATTCAGCGTCAGTCCAAGTAGAAAGCAAATGTTAGCTTCAAAGCTAACGCTTTTTCTACTGTCCTTTCTGCTTATATCTTATGAATAAAAGCAGTATCTTAATGAATCTGCAAGAATTATTCTCTGCTGTTCAGAAAATTTAAAAAAGAAAAAAAAAAAATCAGCCCCATACATAGTCAGCTTGCTACCTCATTTCATTAGCAGGAATTAATAGTTCCTCTATTATCATGATACTTTTGCCTTCATTATTACTTACTTTCTACTTGTTTTTATTATTCTCAATTGGCCAGTGCTATTAAAGTCCTTGATTATAGACTCTGTGTTTGGCTTGTTGCATGGGGTTGTGAAATGGAGAAAGTGTTAGAAAGGGATGACCGCAGAGAGGATTTGGACTAGAAGGCATGGAAGTCTTAGTTCAATAATGGAATCCTGTAAGCAATCACAGACTACTTTCTGAATGTGTACAACAGCTGTGCCTTCAAGTATGCTATGTCAGTAGTTGTACTGAGAGCACAAGATCAATGTCTTGGTAATGAGGACTGTTACTGTAACTATTTACCATGGAAACACAGGTACCATGTAAGCTTGAGGGTGGATCTTTGAAGATTTGAGGGATGTGTAACAATTTGCAGAGGCAATACAAGCTGGTGTTAATTGTTTGGCTGTACTATGTGTATTTTTGAGCTGGATGCTTTCAGATGCTGCACTTCAATGGCTTCTACATCATTTTGGGCAAGTATGCCTGAAGTTCTGTTTTTTTTTTTTTTGCTGTGTCACACATGGGATTCTTCTGTGAGGAAGCTTATCAAAATGGATGGGAATTATAGAGCCTTAAACTCAAATTGTCATCTTCCATAGTTGTGTCTCCTCTTCCCAAGTCATTAGTGCTGCTTTCATACAACACCTAGAGCAAAGACTGCCCTGTGATACAGGCCTGGCAAATGTGAGTACTCAAACTCCAGAATGCTGGATCATCTGGTGTATACAAGCTTTACAAGCAGACATCTTTCTGGACTACTCCAGCAGAACCTGGTAATGTCTCCTTTGGGATTGAGAGGGTGCTAACGAGTAGTACTTCTTGCCCTGAACTATAATTAGGGTAGTACAGCACTGTTTCAGGGCTCATCTTGCATATATGCAGAAGAACCTTACCACAGGCCAAAATCACTGCTCATCTTCTTCAGAGTACAGTTGCCAGGGAAATAGTGTTGGAGATGACTTGTATTCCTGTTTCTTGAAGGCTTGTGCTCATGAAAAAAGCATGAAAGAGATGGGGTTTCATGCTATTGGGTTTGTGCCTATGGGATCTTACAGAATGTAATTATTGATGAGAATTGTGTAAATGAGTAATGGATTCCTGTGCTTAATTTTTTAATGTTTCTTAATAAAATGCAATCCCACTGTAACATCATTTTTCATTGCAAAAGTGTGAATACAGCAGCTGAAGTAGTATAGTTTAATACAAGCCTATGAGTAGCATATGGGCTGCATAAATTGTCTCACTCAAGACGTACAGTAGTAAATCCAAGTGCCAGACATGATGTACTCTTTTTACTTCTTTGTATGCGTGTTAAATTCTTCATTCAGACAAAACTGTGCTGGAATGAGGATGGCCAAGAGCACCACAACTGAATAGAGTGAACACATTTTTTGACAAAGTAAGAGCAGTTAGATCTCATGATGGCTAGTAAGTTTATACCTCTCTTCATCCCTCGAAGCTTTGTTGGGGGTGACATAGAATTTATGGTATGCTATAATGCTCAACATCTGAAATTCAAAATGAAGTGTCAGACAGTACGGGAAATAACGTGTTATCTATAATTGCTTTAGGGATACTGGCATAGGTCTTCATTGCCTGCTTTTTTTTTTTTCTCCTCAATTCAAGCTGAGAATTGCTAGTGCAAGTTGAATGTCATCTTTAATAACTTCCCAAGTAGTGAAAAAGGGGACACCCCTATTCTCCTATTATTCACTGATCACATGGAAAACAAATCTATTTTTAAATGAATGCTTTTTCTTTTCTAACTTAACACCTCTGTAAGTCATTGGATGGTGCAGCAAATCTCCAGTTGGCTGTGTAATGTTTAATTATGCTTTGTATGTTGTTGGTTGGTATAATGATGCTTTAAAAAAGGTCACTCTTTTAAAGAACACATTGACTTTAGATTATATTCCCAGAACTGTTTTCTTGAGTGCAAGGCAAACTGACAAAGCAGGCATACAGTACTATAAGAAGTGCAGACAGAATTAAGTGCTTCACAAATATTAAATGTGAAATCTCTTCAGAAACAAGATTAGAGAAGTCGTGAAATCAGTGCTGAATCTATAGCCATAACTTTGGAGTGTTTGGTGCCTTGAACATAAAGTTAGAGGGGAAAAAATGGAAATAGGAATGAAAGATAGTTGGAAAAGTAGTTTTTTCACCTGTGTAGTACAAATTGTCAGAGGTCCTCAAAGAGTCTCAGAAATAAAACAAAATACATCTATGAGGCCAAAGTATGAATACTTTCCCTAGAAGCCATACAAAGCATGTGACTAGAAAATGGTTTATAGAGCTTGTGTAACTGGGGGCCTGCTGTCAGATAGTCGTGTAAAGCATGAGATCATCTTGTGATCCACCCAGCAGCAGTCTGTAAAAAAAACCAAAAACCTTACCATATGAAATAATGTTAGACTGTTTTATAGAAACATTTGTCTCAATAGGAAAAAAAAAGTCATAGATGATCATTGTGCAGTGTCGTCTTAGCAGTTTTTAAATTGCTGTATGGCTCAGAATTTTTCTTCATTTTTCTGGGGTCGATTATACTGAAAACAGTAACTTGGCAAAAGCTACAATAATAGCTTCCTAAACCTGCTCTGTCAAAATCCATTATTTATAGGAGGGCCTCTAATAAAAGCTGGCAGTCATTACATGTGTGGGTATTATCAGGTTAGTGCTGCACCTCACCTGGCCTGCTGTAGCAGAGGCAGTATTCAGACTCCCTGCTGTAGAGCCAACCTTCTGCTGCTCTGCTATGTGGTGTTTCGGCTGAAGGGAGGTGGCTGTGGCCCACAGCATGCCTGCTCTTTTTCAAGACTATTCTGCAGATTTATTGATAACTTCAAAATTTTCACCTTTTCAAGGTGTAGGCATTAAGCCTGAGCCATAAAGAACATACAGTCTCTTCCTAATTTACACTACCATTATACTATTTAATTAAATATATTCCTTTTTAGTTTAAAGCCAATTTGTCTTCATAATGCCTTAGTATTGCTATACTTAGTGCTTTATTTTGTGAAGTATCAATTATGCAACACTGGCCTCGGTGGCAGTTTGACTTTTGCTGTCTGTGACAATACCAAGATTCAACTTGCTGATTAGCTGTCATCCTAAAATCTTGCAGAAGATGGAGTAGTGGGAGGGTCCTCTCTCCTTTCTATAGACTACAAAAGTGTACATAAGTACTACAGACAGCTCCAGTATTACTGGCATGAGGAGAGTTTATAACTAGACAACAAATTCCTGGAATATTTCCCAACAACTTCATAAAAATAGAAGCTTCAGCCAGTTTTAAAAACTCTTATCTACTGTTCAGAACACACAGCTGAGAATGATTAGGGAGAGGCTACCATGACTGAAAAGACAGAAATGTACAGCTGCTACTGTCCCATATGCCACACTTTTATTTCTACCTGAGCTTAGTACAGTCCGTAACAGACTTTACATTTCAGCCACAGTGCAGTTAAATCTGAATGCAGAAGAGTAAACACTCAGATGAAATCTCCTGGAGCAGGTACCCAGACTGAATGCAACCTCCACACCCTTAGGTGGGGTACAGAACTTTAATCCCCAGGCAACAACAGAGCAGAGTTACAGTACAGAATATGCACAAATCTGGACACTCAATGCTGAAGCAGCATCTGTACAAAGCAGAGGGGTTTGTTACAGTCACATATGTACCCAAGCTAAAGGTGGCTCCCTCTCTGCTGCTATGGCAACCATGAATTTCCTAATGTTTTAAATTGATATCTATACAAAGTTAACTATCTTGTTTTCTTTGTCTCATCACCTTATTGAGACTCATCCTTTGAGACACTTGTGAAGCATTAGCTCTCAGAATGGCACAGTTAATTTTCTTACGATGCAGGCAAAAGACATAGTGTCTTGAACAAGTATTAACAGTACTTCTCTGGTGTGGTTCAAAATAATCCTAATGTGGTCCTTTGTCATGTATGCTTTTTGTAAGTCCTTTGTAAAGTATGCTTTACTTCCCACAGTCCCTGCAAGCTTGTGTTACACGGTAATGGTAAGACACAGCAAGATCTCGCTGCCTTTCAAAATACCTATTATTGGCATCTTAAGCAGTATTTAATTGCAGCAACACTGATGGCAGCATCAAATCTGTTTACTTAAACCTCTGATTATTTTTCAGCTTACCTCAGTTGCTTTGCTCTTTCAAAATCAATTCTGTCTTCTGACTTACCACTTAATGCTGGAAGGACTACATAGTTGTAGCATTGCCAGGAGTTAGGTACAATAACAGTAAGTGTTTTGGTAAGAGTAAAATGTTCTGGAAAGATAGTAAGTTTATTCGTGCCTCCGCCATCTGGTCTTCTGTATTTCTGGAACTGGGTATAATTATGTGCTGAAAAAGGATCCTTAGAACTGGCTGCTTTAAATAGGCTCACTCACTTTCAGATGACTTTCGTCTTTCTTTTTTCTACTAAGTTCTTCAAGAAGAATTCACCTAATCAAAAGGCAAAAAAGCACCAGAAGTTGTAGGTGTTTCCAGGACATGAAGCAAAACAATGTGCGTTCCTACTGTATTCTGTATTAGGGCTTACCAATATTCTATAGCAATTCAGTTCTACACAACTGCATTCTCAATACAGCCATGATGTATTAAAAAAAAAATCCATAACAAGCAATACCATCCATCCCCTTGAAATCTGAATTTTCTCCATGTTCAGTGTTATGAAAAAGCTCTGCTGCTTTGTGTTTTCAACCAGGTCGAGGTGAATTGATTTAATTAAAAATTAATTCCTATTTTATGAAGTAGCAGCAACTTGTAATGAAACCCATTATAGATCCTGCTTCAAATAGCCTGAGAAGCAAGGTGTCCCAAACCATCCTTCTGTGTTCTCTCCTTAGGAAAAAGCAGAATGTTGCACCTACACGGCAGTCCCACTAAGATCAGCTGCTACTTAACACACACTGCTTTGTCAGAAAAAGCACTGCCTTAAGTGTGTCTAATTATTTCTAGGGCACTGCAAATAAATTCTGCCTTCAGCATCAAAATTGCATCACAAGCAACAACTGGCTCCATTAAAGCCTGAAGCGTTCAGGTGGCAGATTGTAATGGAAAAACTGAAGGCTGTGTACCCTATCTATGAATCCTGCCTTGTGCATAAGTATAGCACAAGCTTGGTTTGGCAAAAAATCAGCTTATTTAAGGTAACAAACCACACAACAATTGCACAAATACATACATAACTACAAAAAACAGTAAATGTAAACAGTAAAAAGGAAAGCACGACCAGATAATTTGCTCTTGAGAAAAGGTGAGCTTTGTTGTCTATATATACTTTTTAGCTTGATTATATGAAATATCACATCCTAAATAATTTAATACTGCTCAGTAACGTACCTGCTTTATAGGAGGAACGCACTAGAGGCCCACTAGCTGTGTAATGGAATCCAAGATCGTTTCCTACTTTTTCCCAGTATTTGAATTTTTCAGGTGTTACATATTCCTCAACCTGAGTGAAAAGAATTCATTCTGATCAGGCCTTAATGTAAAGGAAATAAAATATAGTCAGCATGTAGCAACATGAAATAATTAAATCTCAATTCAAAACGTTACATTCCAAAACAGATATAGCTGAAAAGTTGTTGCTTCATCATTTTCTTAGCTTTGTTTTCAAACAGTCCTTTTGCACAAACCTTTTTTTGCCCAAGTTAGTAAAAAAAAAAAAAAAATAAAGCATAGTAGTCCTACAAATCTCTTTATTAGCAAGTTATTTCAGTGAAACAGAGTAACAGACAGAGACTCAAGCTCTGGACAGGTTACAGAAGGAATAAATGGTAATTTCTGCAGCTGAAGTGGCACCATTAAGGGCCAGCCTACCAGTCAGCAAAGAAGAGCTGACTTGAGCCATTCTGTTTGAGGCATACAGAGAGACTCTTGTTTTGCAGAATCATGCCTCAGCTCCAGCTGTCTGCCCAGCTAATAGTAACAATGGAAAGTCTGCAGAAGATGGAAGAATTGTAGCTGGGGCTATTTCTAGCAAAGAGTCCGTAACAGATGGGAATAAAGTTAGACAAGGAAGAAAATATTTCCCAACATCCAGAGTTAAGGGAAAGATGCAAATCAAGCCTCATTTTAGAAAGAAAAGACTTTACTGCAAGGTACAGACCATAATTCTGTCTGTAAATTAAAGGCACATTTACCTTTAGGTGACGTTTTGTTGGTTGCATGTATTGTCCTAGAGTCAAACAATCCACACCTGCTTCACGCAACACTGTAAAAATAAATGTCCTTGTTAGTGGCAAAAGCATCACGAGGGATTGTCAGCAAGTGGCTAACATCCAAATGCAAGGCTGAACAAGGCTCACACCACAGCACCCCGCAAGGGGTACATTCTGCTCTCCCTGAACAGAGCCTGCAACCTTCACAAGCAGCAGCAATGTACATTGTTCTGAGATCCAAGCTGCTGCATGTCTTGCTCTAGTTCAGAGCTGGAGAGAATACCACTGCACTGCAGTCACTTGTCTCACTGCAGAGACAACATGCTCTTTTTTATTTTGCTGCTTTTCACTGCATCTTTAGGTCAAAGCCCTCATCTGAGGGAAAATGGATGCATATACTTGGCACTTCTCCACTGGTTCAAAGCCTTTGTGCTGAAGTTATGAACACTTTTCTGAAGAGAAATAAATCCAAGGGAAGTTGCCAACACCTTTAAACAGCTTTATACATTGAAGGGTAGATGTTAGCTGCAAAAACTTGCAAGATGGATATTTACTACAATCTTGAGGCAACAAATGAGTTTAAGTTGTCTGCTTACAGAGAGTAATCCAGGCACCTAGCAGTCAGGTAGCCTGCAGGGCGATGCTTGCTGTGGCTAGTAGGGCACTCTGAACAGAGATGTCTGAGGGATCAGATTTTGCATGAATACTTCCATATATTTCCTGGCTCTGTGGACTGCTTACCCCAAGTCAAATAAAAAGAAAGGATAATGTTTTGTTTACAGCAAACCTCTGATAAGACTGATATGGTTCTGTAATAAATGAGTTTAATAGCAGCACATTTAAATGTTCCTCAGCTCCTACACAGAGGAAGGGAGAGGAATAAGATTAGAGTAACTGGATGGCTCCAAAGACATCCATGACATGCAAACAGCCCCGAGGCTGAACTTCACACTTCTGTATGAAATGCTGGGCCGGAAGGATGGGGAAGGCTGGGCAGGAGCTGATACGGCACAGCTGCAGAACAGGGCTGTACCAGTGTGTTCAAATATGGCTGTTATACACAGGATAAAGTACAGGTAGACAATCCTTCAGTTGGATACGGGAGAAACATCGTAGGATGTGAAAAATGCCTTGTGTGCACTACTAACCACTGGGAACTTTTCTTCTCTTAGAAATAAACAGTAAAGAAGGCGTAAGAAAACTCACACTTCATCGTTGCAAGCACCTGTTCATGTGTCTCGCCCAGCCCCAGCATGAGGGATGTTTTGGAAATGACGCGGGGCTGCACCTCCTTGGCGTGCTGCAGCACACGGACGGACTGCTCGAAGTTGGCTCGGGGATCGCGGACTTTCCTTTGAGGTTTTCGACAAGACGGGGAGAACAGAGGCGAGTTAAAGACAGCACGGCAGTTACATCCCGTCACACGCCGCGAAACCCAAACCACGGCTGCCGTTCCGGGCCGCCTGCCGGCCCCGAGGCCCGGGCGCGGCGCGGCGCGGGCGCCCTCTGCGGGCGGGCGGCGGGCAGGGCGGCGCCGCGCGAGGCAGGCTGGGAACCGCGGCCCCGCGCCATTTCGGAGCTCCCCGCCCGCCTACCCGGCCCTGAGGCGGCCGGCAAGAGCCGGCTGTCCGAGCGGAAGCCGGCGGGAAGAGGAAGGCCGCCGCGACACGAAGCGGAAGGCGACGGATGTTACGGCCGGAGCGTCCCGTCCCTTCCCGCCCCTGCCCTCTGCGGCAGCGCACCGCGTGGCTGCGGGCGGAGCTGTGCAGAGCGTTCTTGCGAGGCAGGGAAGCGTTCCTTTTTCCCGTGGCAGAGTACTGACAGATGGCGAACGCACACACCCTCACAGCTGCGGAAAACCAAAAGGCTACGGAGTGCCGGGAGCGGGGGGACGGAACAGCGCCTGGCCGGCCTGCGCCTCTTCTGCCACAGGGCAAGCTGTGCGCGAGCCGCAGTCATCCAAAGTGCTGTGAAACAAAGCCTAGATCTCAAGTAGAGAACCTGGCAAAATGGGATTCAGCTATGCTCTGTTCAGAGTGAATGTTTCGGTTCTTTTGTTCCTCGTTTTTTAGGACAAAGCTCTGACTTGAGAAGCCCCTTGACCGCAGCCTGTGGTCACCTCAGGAGGAAAAGGGAGCGGCGGTGCCTCTGAGTGGGATCAGGGGACAGAGAGCTGCAGGCTGAAAGCAGGTTTAAATAAATGGCTCTGGCGCCCAGTCACAGAGAATTCCTTTCACACAATCCCTTCTCTTATTATACTGCATTCTGCTTCCATTTACACACACCGTTCTTGCTTACCTCTGTAATTCTGGAACAGTCTCCACGTTGTGTGCGTACACATCCAGCCCTGACAGTGCGACCTTCTCCACAGCCTTAAGGTCCCCTCGGAAATCAGGGGTAAGGCATTCCACTACTATTTTTGAGTTCCTGAAAAAAGGAAACTGGAAATGAACACATCTGTGGGATTTTTATCACTGTTGGTAAATGTTCAATATAACAAAACCCAAACATAATCAAATCAATGATGTTCTCATAAGCAGAGAGAAGTTAATTTGGGATATATGGCTAAAACAACAGATTTCTGCAAATACTGACATTGTTGCTTTTTTATAATATCGTTGTTCAAACAAAACATAATGTGTTTAATTCCTGATTTTACTGATGTGAGCTGAAATAAAATGAAACTCAGATAATACAAAACCCATTCTTTACAGTCTATCACGACTGCTGTCTATATTACATATAGACATATGTAATATTTTTCTGTCAGTCACAGGTTACTGCACAAAGTTTTAAATACTGTTTTACTATTATAGCTCTGAAATACAGATGTATTTCTGACCTGACACATGGTCAAAGAAATAATCCAGTGCTTAGCTTTAAATAAGCCTGTGCTAAATTGGAAATGCATTCCAATTCAAAATATTTTAGGACTATTGTATCAGAAATATGAATAATGGGGGGAAAAGGGCACATAAACAAGCTGAAGGCACACTTTTCTATTTGTATGGCCCCTCACAGAAACCAGCTAAAGGCAATTCTGACCTACATGCTGTACCATGTGTTGTGATTTAAGCTGGCAGCTGGCTCAGCATCATGCAGTTGTTTGGCTACTCCCCCCCTTCCCAGTGGGATGGGGGAAAGAATTGAAAAGAAACAAAGTGGAACTTGTGGTTGAGATAAAACTATTTACTAAGATAAAGAAGAGGATAATACTTATGACAAATATAGCAAGTGATGCACAAGAAATTGCTTACCACCCCCTGATCAATGCCCAGCCAGCCCCCCAAGTAGCGAAAGAGAGTGAGATGAACTCCCACGCCTCCAAAACTCCTTCTGTGTGATGTCATATAGCATGGAATGTCCCTGTGGCCAGTTTATGCCAGCTGTCCTAAGTCTGTTCCCTCCCAGCTCCTTGGGACCCTTTGCTGCAAATGGCTTTGGCTCTGTAAGACGTTACAGGCAAAAAATAAATAAATAAATAGCAGGCAACTATAAGCATCAGTGTTATCATTTTTCTCCTAGAACCAAAATATAGCATCATATCAGACCCTATGAAGAAAACAATTCCGTCCCAGCTGAAACTAAGATACAACAATAAAGTTTTAATAATAACTAATACATTATTAATATACCTTTCTTTCAGATGGGAGACCGTCTTTGCAAAGTGTTCTGCTCCACCATCAGGCATATCTAGAAGTATTTCAATTATTCAGTTAACCTTTCTGCTCAAGAAATGCATTTAGTTATTAGCAGAGACAAAACAAACAAACAAGAGAAAGAGTCACAATTAAATCCAAACTCATAAAGGAGTTCTCAGTCAAAGATAAAACTCATCTTATGTTACTGCTTATGCCAAAGGTTTGCAACAGATATTCTACCAAGCCTCAGTCTGCACACAGACTAAATATGATCAATTAGGGCACACTTGGATCATATTCACTTGTTTTTGTGGGTTCACTGTCAGCCTAAGAACAAAATGACTTTAACTATTTATGGTTTTGATCTGAGGAGCGATCCTAGAAAAAACCTGAAACATATCCAACTAAGCATTATTGCTCTTTTCTTGTAAGCCACTTTGAAGCTATTGGATTTTCACCTAAAGTATATTGAACAGTCTTTACAATCATTTTTCTCACGTACATGATGTCACCACAAAAGAGCTACTACAACCATAGAACAAAAAGCAACTTCCAATACTATTAAGTATAACTTATTTCAGGTGTAGCTTTTAGAAACAAGTTCTGTGACAGCATAGTGTATGAATGTGATTTTTTTTTCTGATCAAGTAGAATATAGTGTTTGTACTTTGAAAAAAGAAAAAGGTTCTTACAGTATTTTATTAATTGTTGTATATTTTTAATGTTAAGACCTCATTGCTATGTACAGCTATCTGAAAGGAGGCTAGGGAGAGGAAGGTGTCAGATGTGAGGCATCAGCATCAAGCTGCACCAGGGGAGGTTGAAATAGAGTATCAGGAAAATATCTTTGTGGAAAAGGTGGTTAGGCATTGGAAGGGGCTGCGCAGGGGGAAGGGGTGGTCCACCACCATCCACTCGCGTGGATGTGGCACTCAGGGACATGGCTTAGCAGTAGGGTTAGCTGGATGGTTGGACTTGATCACAGAATAATTTAGTTTGGGAAAGATGATCCTCTGAGTGTAACTTCTATTGTACTTTACCAGGTATAGAGAGGTACTAAGAGTATGTAGGCACTTCCCAAAGTTTCAGCACTGTTGACTCATTTCAAAGAAGAATTTTCAACAATTGCACTGAGCCCACACTGGAAGACATCAGTGACAGCATACTAACCATCTCTGTCGACCGATGTCAATACAACGTAATCCAAGCCCCACTCAGCAATAGCTTTTGCTGTGTTGTAAGGCTCCTCGGGATCCAGTGGAGGTGGATTTTTTGCTGTCTTTACTGAACAGAATCTGCAACCTCTAGTGCACGTGTCACCCATCAGCTGAAACAAGAAAGACATTCCTACATTTACATTTTGCACATCACTATTACTCAGCCAAGAAACAGCTGCATATGCTATATCAGACCGATACTAAAGAAAAAGGTGAGGACAGTGATTTCCTGTACATTTCATGTAACAAACCCATACCACTTCAGCAGTGGTTGCCACATATCCAACGTTATGCTACAAGTGCCTCAAACAGTTATAAAATACATGAGAAATAGTTAATGGCTTACCATAATAGTAGCTGTAGCTGTAGCATATTCACCACCTCCCCAACATTCCCCAATGTTGGGACAACGTGCTTCCTCACATACCTGAAGTTAAACAGACAGGAAGGTACTGTATTTCAGTACTAGCCTACAAATAATCCTAATTCCATCTGTGATAAATGAGATTAAGAGAGTTACACAATGTTATGGAAGAAGTCAGCAGAATGGCTAGGAAGAAAATAATTGTTTCCTGGCATCCATTTCCATTCTTTACCTCTAATATATAAACCCAGAGCCAACAACTCCTCAACTGAGTAACTGCCATATTAGTTAGCACAGATTGCCATTAGCATTTTAAATTTATCTATAACATTTCACCAGATACTGTATTCACAAGATCCATGATACATCTTGCTCCAAAAAACAACAACAAAAACCAAAAAAACAAAAACCAACCAACCAAACAGAAAAAAAAGCTGTGCATACCTACCACTTTCTATCACCTTTCAGGGGGAAATTCTTTACAGAGAGAGTGGTGAGTCTGGAACAGGTGCCCAGAGAGGTTGTGGATGCCCCCTACCTGGAGGTGTTTAAGGCCAAGCTGGATGGGGCCCTGGGCAGCCTGGGCTAGTACTAGATATGGAGGTTGGCAGCCTTGCCTGCGACACGGGGGTTGGAGCTTCATGATCCTTGAGGCCCTTTCCAACCTGGGCCATTCTATGATTCTATGATTGAGGGTATATTTAAACAAATGGAAATTTCTGCAATTCCTTTTCCTGCAAAATATGTATATGACCCTGAAACTGCGTGCATTTCCATTACAAATAGTTACAATTGGCATCTTTTGATCATTTTGATGATGCAAGAATCCTAATATTTAAAATCACAGCAGAAAAAAAAGCATTAAACAAAAAATCAGCATTGGGTTTGATTTCAGCATCTGAGACCATGCAAAACATAATGTCTATCTGTCCTCCACAAAAACAAACATACAAACAAAAAATCATCATTTCTACAGGAAACCTTGGTTTGATACTAGATTTACCGTGTGCAGATTTAAACTTCTCAAGGTATTTTTCAGTTTATTGTAATTTTTGCCCATGGGAATCTCTGTTTTCAGCCATGGAGGAAGTCGTAGCCTGAACAAAAATCAAACAAATGTAAACATCAATACATTATTTACATGGTAAGTTTCCATTAATTATATAGATCCATTTCAATTTGTTACATATCCCAGTGTGAAAGGGTTCCTTGAATACTGATGCAGCTCAGTGGCCAGCATTAGTATCACTCATAGTCATAACAGACTTCTCTGTTCTATGCATATTACCATCCCAGTATTCAAAAATAGGAATTTGTTGTCACTGGAAGGTTTAAGGCTGTAATGATGGGATTTCATAGTACAACAGTGGAGAACACAACAATCAATGACAGCGTAAAGTACACAACTAGAAAGAAGGTTGATCAAATGTATAACTGGGAATATACTTTATTTCAAGTATTTTTTTTTAACTTATTCTGCATTAATCTGTTTTTTGATACCAGTAATAATTTTTCAGCCTTTAAGTATAGTATGCTACTCTCTGATGTGCATTTGGTATGGCACAAGCACTCAAGTGAAAAAATATCATCATGTCTTAGTTTTGTTACATATCCAGAGTTAACACTGTGGGTTTTTTCCATGAAAAATCAATCTGGCAAGCCAATATAACAGAATTTAATAAAAGGACACATTCTGCAGTTAATACTGGAGATGCAAGAAATGGCACGGAAGCAACTTCAGTTGTTTGAAATTACATTTACCTTTCTCCTTTCTGACGCTTTAAATTGCCTTTATACTCAGCCCACACACTCTTGTCTGCCAAATCTCCTGATACAAAGTCCTCTAGGTCTGGTCCATTTTGGAGAATTTTTTTTGTCTCCTCAGGCAAGGAACTTGATGTTCGGTACTGGTTACACACATGGCTCTCTGACACCTAAAAAAAAGCAACAGTATTATTTATTAAGTTATAAATGAATTACTGTTTCATACTGAAGAACTATTAGTCCTTTTCGTGGCTTACCATACGCTCTGCAACAGACTTCGTGCAAGTCTCTTCCGAACCACATTTGTGTCAAACATTTATACTCTTTAAGTCATGAAAAACGGACAAAAAGAATGACCTGTTCCCAGATATCTCGGTGCCAGACTAAATTAAACAGCTTTTGATACAAGTATCACAGTATGGACTAATTTTTGCTTCTGCGACTGACAGGATTTTGAGATTTAGATGTGTATCGTCAAGTCAGCCACACAAACGTATTATTTCAACGTGGACACGGCCTCCGTAAGAGCAGCACTGCACGGCGAGGTCGGGCCCAGCCCCAGTTCCAGCAGGGACACCAGAGCAGTGCCCGCGGCCAGGCGCTTCTGAGGGTCTCCGAGGAGAAGCCCACAGCTGGGCAGCCTGTGCCGGCGCTGTCACACACGCAGCGCACAAGCGCTCCTGGCGTTCAGAGGGAAGCTCCCGTGCTCCGGTTTGGGTCTGTGGCCTCTTGTCCTGCCAGCACCAAGAAGAGCCCGGCTCTGCCCTCCGCGCCCTGCTTTCAGCTATTTATTTCTGCCCATTGATGAATCTCTCTCCCACGGCTCCTCCAGGCTGCACAGCCCCGGCTCTCCGGCAGCTCCAGGCCCCTTGTCGTCTCGATGGCCCGGCGCGTCTCTCATACTGGGGCGCAGAATCGGACCCAGCACTCAGGTGCGGCCTCGGCAGCGCTAAGCGGAGGTGAGGAGCTGAAGAGCCCCTCGTCCCGACCCGCTGCCGCCGCAGGCAGGACCGTCCCGCAGCACACCGCGCCGCGCGTTTCTTAACCCGCCCGCCGGCGGAGCCCTGAGACGCGCAACCGCTCTCCCGGCCGCGACGCCCCGGCAGACGGACGGCGCCCACCCACCCGTGCGCGAGGCCCCGATAGCAGCAGCAGCAGCCGTCGGACAGCGGTAGCGGCGGCAACGCGGCAGCCCCCGGGCAGCAGCGACATGGCGACGCCCACCGCCGCTCCGATCGACGCTCTCGGCGCTCGACCGCCCCCGCCGGCTCGCGCGCATCGGGGCTCGCCCTCTCTCGCCTCTCGGACGGCGGCCTCGGCGCGATGACGTCAGCGGCTCGCGACCGGCTACAAGAACGTGATGACGTCACGCGCCGGCCCTTTCGGCGCCGCTTGCTGCCAGGTGAGCCGCGGGCCGGCGGCCGCATCCGGCGCCATCTGCGGCGGATCGGCTCCGCGCCGCCCCGCCGGGCTGCGAGCGGCTAACCGGGGCTGCGGCCGCACCGCCGCGGCGCTCTGAGCGCGGCCCGAGCCGGGAAGCCGCCGGGATGGCGCTTTCTCCGACGTGCCCCCTCCCGCCCCTCCCCGCTCTAGGCCCGGCCGGGCCCTGCTGTGGGGAAGGGCGGGGAGGCCGCTGCCTCCCTGGGGCCTGGGGTCGGGCCTGCGTGCGGGCACGGGTGGTCGTGGCGGCGGCGGTAGAGAGTTGGGAGATCCCGTGACTCCTTAGCTGCGGGCCGCGGGGTACGTGGGGGGAACGGCGAGGGAGAAGCGGGGCGGTATACGAAAAAGGAGCTTCCCCTCCCGGCCTGCAGCTTGTCGTGGTTGTCGTTTGCAGAATGAAGACCATCCTCAGCAACCAGACCGTAGACATCCCTGAGCAAGGTGCGTAGCGCTCTCCTGAAAGGCCCGTCGTCCTGCCGGCCTCGTAGCTGTAACGTGCGTTTGTCTGTGCTCGCTTTGCAGTCACCGTGTCCCTGAAGGGCCGCACGGTCATCGTGAAGGGCCCACGGGGAACTCTGCGGAGAGACTTCAACCACATCAACGTGGAGCTGTCCCTGCTGGGAAAGAAGCGCAGGAAGGTGAGTGCTGTGGGGCTCCATGCCCACGGGGGGAGGGGAGCACGGCCTGTTCAAAGGCCTGAAAAGTCTGGGAGCTTCAAGCAGATGTTTGTGGTTTTGTTTTCTCTGCAAATGAGTTCCTTTATGTTTCCTGGGACGAGTTGGTCTGGTGGAACGCTGAGGCCTGCTCAGGCTCCACGGCAGTCTTGAAGTTCTGTTGTGTGTTGGAGTGGTGTTGATTGTTTTTCTGTGTGGTTGCAGTTCTCACTGTTGGGAAGGGGATACCTACTGTATGCTGTTCTTTTGCCTGGTGCGTTTTAACTGGATAAAAGTAATTCCATGCATTTAGTTTTTAGAATTGGCAAGTTATAGTGGGAAGGCTGATTCTCCAAATATGTGCATAATATCTTCATGTGGTGTAAACAGGTCTTCAACAAAAGAAAAAGGGCAAAAATGGCTGATTTTGGTAACTTTTAGTAGGCATTTACTGCGTCAGAAAAGCATTGGATCTTAACACTGTAACTGAGAAAATGGATAGCTTACATGTAGTAGGCTGACTTCAGAATAACTAGTTCAACATTTAGTATTGGAACCTTTTTAGACCTGCTGCCTGTCCTAGCTTCTCTGCAGGTTTGTTACTGATGGGACAAGAAGAAGAAGAAAAATTCTTGTGTGTCTGGGGGTCACCACATGGGGCTGGAGCTGGGTGGGCCTTTAACGGTCTTCTGAAAAAATAAAATATATCTGTGCTCTTAATAGCTGCTCATTCTTAATTTGTCACAAAACCATTTTATTTTTAGTACTGGAATGTAACTTACTGGTTTGTTGTTGTTATTTATTTTTGTATAGCTGCGTGTTGACAAGTGGTGGGGTAACAGAAAGGAGCTGGCAACAGTTCGCACAATTTGCAGCCATGTACAGAACATGATAAAGGGCGTTACGCTGGTAAGTTTTGTTTTCAAATGGCATCTTTGTGGCAAGAGTGGACAGAATTTAATGAGCTTTTCTAAGCTTGTTATTGTGTTATGTTATTGTGTATGTGAACAGCTTTCTCTTTTCTTTTTGGACATCAAACAAGTTTAGGGGGAGGAAGGCATTAACAATAAGCTGTGGATGTTTCTTGGGCTTAGTGTGTTGTCCTTGCAGGGATCCTATCTTCAGTATATTTGGTTCTTAAATGTAACCAGTGAGCTTTATGCATCTGTTTTCCTTTGTGGATGACTTGTGATTTCCTGGTTTCAGTACCTAACGATGCCTTTTATCCTAGGGCTTCCGTTATAAGATGAGGTCGGTGTACGCTCACTTCCCAATCAATGTAGTTATCCAGGATAACGGCTCACTTGTGGAAATCCGGAACTTTTTGGGAGAGAAGTACATTCGCAGGGTGCGCATGAGGCCGGGTGAGTACCTCTGGAGATACTGTACTCAGCTATTTCTATTAGGGTTCCAAACTATTTCAGCGCTGCCACTGATAGCAAGAAATAGCAGATTACTGGAAGCAGCATTTTTCAGTCTGTCTGAATTGATGTGACCTTGCAATACATTTACTGCTATGGTTAATAACAGTTTTGTAGTTTATCCTTAGTAACGAGAAAACTTAAAGCTAATTATTGCAATAGAAGTTAAAAGGATCCCAGTGTTTAATTTCACTGTTGTTAGGTCTTCACAGAGTTTGTTGGTGTGAATTTCTGGTGCTCAGTTTCAGACTGGTGTTTCTGTTTTAAACTTTGCAAGTCATCTAATTTCACACACATGTAAAGAGTTGTATTTTTAATTTTGTAATTAGCCAGGAGCACGTCTCAGTTTTCATCCTACCCATCAGCTTTGTGTACCTCTGTTTAGCAAGAACCTTAATGAGGCAAACATTGGAAGGACATTGTTAAGCAGAAAGAATCATACAGTCATTATTGTTGGAAAAAATCTCTAAGATCATTTAGTCCAACCTACCATCAATATTGAACACTAAATCATATCCCTAAGTAGTACATTTGCCCTTTCCTTAAACACCTCCAGGGACAGTGACTCCAGTACTTCCTGGGCATTCTGTTACAATGCCTCACCATTCTTTCTGAGAAGAAATTTTCTAATATCCAGCCTGAACCTCGGTCCAGCCAGTTTTGTACCTGGAGAAGAGTTGAGCACAAATGACTATTATATGACCCTGCAGTATCTGGAGCAGTGCGTGGATGGGGCCTTGGGACTGTCTCTGTTCTTGAGTAATCCCTCATTTTCAAACTGCTGCTCAAAGTATCAAGCAGAAAGTGGGAAATTTTTTTGAGTGTGCAGGCACACTTCATCGTCCAAATGTGATGGAGTTAGCACCTCAAAATGTCCCAAACCTCTCAACAACAGCCAGTTACTGGTCAAAGAAGTACAACCAAACCATGCTGTCATACAAGGCACTGATACCTCACCAGAGATAGCTGTGGTCCTGCCTCAAATAGCTGTGTCGTGTAGAGGGATCTCAGATCCCAGTGCTTCCTAAGGCACTGGAGATCTTGAGTAGATGGGAAGTCAGCAGGCACCAAGGTGATTGAACCAATCATTGACATTTTTACAAAAACTGTGGAGGAAAAGATGTAACACACTTCAGAAACAATTACCTTGAGATGTTCCAGATATTTTTCATACTTGCACTACTGTTGAAGGTGTGTGTGACATGGTATTTCAGGATGCATTTAGATAAAGCATCAGGCAGCTCTGAACTCCCTGGTAGATGCAGTGTGGAGTTGGTACAGGGGCTTTTATTTTGATTTACTGTGAAGGACTAAAGGTGGGCTTGACTACTGTACTTGATTTTTTATTTTTTTTTAATATCAGCATTTATTTCAAAGATGGGTGTTAGTGAAGTGTTAGTTTACCACCTATTAACTAAATAGATCATACTATAGAATTGCGCTTGAGATACTTTCTGTGCAAGTGAAAAATTTCCTGTTAGATTCCTGAATGTGGTAGTGCTTGTCCTTTTGAAAGGCTTTTATTGTTTCTTGTGTAAATATGGTGCTTAACATAGCAGAGGACAGGACTTTTTTTTTTCAGTGACTTACTTAGTCTGTATCTGCTTTGGTCTTCATGAACATAAGAATGTAGAAACTGGCACCACCTAGCTGACGGTCATGCTGGCAGATTCTCCAGCTTATGTGCTGTGTTGGTGATTAATGCTATAATGCAGTAACGTGCAAGTCATGCTCTGGATTGAAAGGAAGTAATCTTTGTGTGCTGAAACTGTTGGGAGAGGACAATCTTGGAAGAGTTGTGGGAGGACCATTTTAAGTCACAGAAGCTCATTTGTTATCTAGAGTAAGAATCATAGAATTATAGAATGGCCTGGGTTGAAAAGGACCGCATGATCATCTAGTTTCAATCCCCCTGCTATGTGCAGGGTCACCAGCCACCAGACCAGGCTGCTCAGAGCCACATCCAGCCTGGCCTTGAATGCCTCCAGGGATGGGGCATCCACAACCTCCTTGGGCAGCCCATTCCATTGTGTCACCACCCTCTGAGTGAAAAACTTCCTCCTAATATCTAACCTATACCTCCTCTGTCTGAGTTTAAAACTGTTCCCCCTTGTCCTGTCACTATCCACCCTCGTAAACAGCCATTCCCCCTCCTGTTTATATGCTCCCTTCAAGTACTGGAAGGCCACAATGAGGTCTCTCTGGACCCTTCTCTTCTCCAAGCTAAACAAGCCCAGTTCCCTCAACCTTTCCTCATAGGAGAGATGCTCCAGCCCTCTGATAATCTTAGTGGCCCTCCTCTGGACCCGTTCCAAGACCTCCACATCCTTCCTGTACTGGGGGCCCCAGGCCTGGATGCAGTACTCAAGATGGGGCCTCACAAGAGCCGAGTAGAGGCAGATGATCACCTCTTTCTCCCTGCTGGCCACCCCTTTTTTAATGGAGCTCAGAAGAAGAACCTTCATCCATAAATTGGGACCTGAATGCTGTGTCTTTATATGTGTTTATCGTCTTCGCTGATACCGAGTTTGTGCATTTTCTTTTCTGTAGGTGTTTCCTGTGCTGTTTCTCAAGCCCAGAAAGATGAGCTGATCCTTGAAGGGAACGATATTGAATTGGTCTCCAATTCAGGTTTGTGAAGTAGTTGCAAAAGGGAAAATGTGATGATATGTTTATCTGGAGATGTCAGTTGAGCAAACAATTTCTGTTCTTTTTCTCCAATGCTGAAGTAAATGATAGCTCAGATGTTTCTGCCTTGTGCCTCATTGCCAAGATACGCTGAGTGAAATGCATACTTTTTTCTTTAGAACTGACATGATTTCAAGTTGATAATTCCCTCCTCCAAGTGATGGTCTTATTGTTAAAATACTAGAGATCCATGTGTTTGGATCTCTTATGCTAATGGTTTTGCTTTGTTCATAGCTGCCTTGATCCAGCAAGCCACTACAGTCAAGAATAAAGATATCAGGAAATTCTTGGACGGTATCTACGTCTCCGAGAAAGGAACAGTACAGCAGGCAGATGAGTAAAACTAACAGGTTGGTGTCATCCTACATGGATGGACATTATTTTGTACTTTAATGTGCTGTGATTGTCAGGTGTGTTCAGGTCTTTCTGAGGACAAGCATGGCACCTTTGCTTGCATCTTGAAGTCTATGGTGTACAGAATATGGGAGCTGGGAACACTGGGGATGTGAGATAGCATGTATGAGAAGCAAGTGTCTGGAGATGGTGACTTGAACTGGAGGCTAGATAAAGTCTTTCTATTTCAAAAGGGACTCAGTGGTTTACCATGTTGGCTACAGGGATGCAGTCATATAAAGCTTCTTTGTATCCTGAAATGTAGATCTCTTGACAGCAACTTCACATCTCTTAATAACATCATTTTATGCTGCTGTTGGGATAAACATCTAACTGAGTGTAGTATTTCTATAGCATGAATGTTAGTTTGGATGATAATTGAGAATTGAAAGCCAGCTGACCTAGGATGAAAGAGCAATTTCCAGTTAATATAGAGAAAACTTCCTTGGACTAAGTCTCCTCCTAGTTATACACTGGCTTTCCTTTTATTTTTTTCTCTCTAAATAAAGTAGTAGTAGTAGTAATAATAATAATAATAAAAAAGAGGATAGCATTTCACATGTTAGGGTCTTCTGCATAGTTAAGTAAATGCTTGTAAACAAAAGTCAGATAAACAGCGATAAATAGTTGTTAATGTAAATTTGTCACTGACATTGAGCACAAGGATTTGATGTTTAAGAATTCTAACTGCTAGAGGAATTCAGGTATGTATCGTTCCTTATGTGATCCAAATAAATAACTTGTATAGGATGAGACAGGCTGAGTTGCATTTAAGATAAATGTGTGCCTTCTGAACCAGAGCTTGAGACAGAGGATCCTGATGAAGTGAATTTCATAAACTAAATCTTAATAGCAGCAGCCAGATATCAGGTGCTTACAGGCTACTGAAAAAGTGATTGCCAGTGCTGCACAGAGTTCCTTAAGAAATAGAACAACTTCTCTCTTTATTATACAGTTTTGAGCATTTACTCATTTTCAAGTAATCCGGTCTGAATAAGTTGGGAAGATTTTTTGGCGATTAATTCTTGTTTTGTATTAAAACTACCAGATAAATGAACTTGTTTTATGTCCGTAAGCTTTTGAATGTCATATTTGAATTGCTAGGTATTTTTTAAAAGCTTTTTTAAAAGCTCTTTAACATTTTATTTACAGTTGTCTGGGTCCTGGAAAAAAAAAAAATGAGACAGCATATCAGCAAGTACTGGATTGAGACATCTGATACGAAAACTGAACAAGATCAGAGGTTTAATAAAATAAAATATATTTCATATCTTGGTCTGTTTTTTTTTAAGATCTAAATTATAATAATGTGGACCTATTCAAGGTCTTCATCATCTGGAGAAGCACATTGTCACACAGTCATGGTAAATAGCTTAGTGCTCTGTATGTTTGTAGTCTTGTGCAGTGTTACTTCTCTCTGAACATTCAGATCAACAGAAGTCTGATGGATTGGAATCCTCATGCCACATAAAGCCCCAGAGTGGTAGTTTTAAATCGTAAATCTTTTTTGCTATTAAAAAATAGCAAAAGCATTGTTTTCAAAGAAAGGAAATTAGTGTTTTTTCTTACTATTCAAAACCTCAAACCAGTGATTACAAAAGCAGATGACCACGTACAGATTCTGGAGGGAAATTCCAGATCTGAAATATGTTGAAAACAATCTGGCATTGTTTAAAGCCAATTTACAAGACTTTTTAACCTGGATGCAGGGTTAGAGTAAGTCTGAATACATGGCTTCTGTGCCTTGAGCAACACTGAATTAAGAAAACTGAAATACATCAGAATTCAGATACAGTGGAGTTTCAGTGTGTGATTTGTGTCATCTGTGGATTACACTTTTTTTCTTGTTTTCTCTTTTAAGGTACCAAGTCTTTTTGTGACTTTTGTGCTGTTTCTATGCTACGCTAAAATCTACATTGTAACTTTTATAATCAGTTTTGAAAAGAATTGCATGAAATACTGGTATAAAGTGGCTAAAGCTTAATAACAAGGGAAACATCTCTGCATGCAAAGGGAAAGTACCTAAAGCAACTGAGTGATTCTGCTGTCAGTTCATGTAGGAGTGCTGTACCACTGAGCTGAACTTTATAGGTATGAAATTTGAAGGTGTTCAAGGTGTTCCATTAAGTCAGTCTTCAGAATTCTCTTTTGGCTTACACAGTGAGTATGGAATTGTAGGGGTTGAAAGGGGCCTGTGGAGGTCATCCAGTCCAACCCTCTGCTAAAGCAATTCCCCAGAGTGGGTTGCACATGGAAGTGTCCGCATGGGCTCCAGAAGATTTTTGTCCAGGTAATGGACATGTGCATCTCTAATACTCCTGCTATTTGCTGTTCTGGCAGAGTGTTTTCATGTTCAAAAGAATCATGGTTTTACTGCTACTTGCCTTTTGAATAAATCGACTTCCTGTGATGTTGGCCAGTATTTGAAATAGATTGGAGGAGTAGTCATGCATTTATGAACTGAGATTTAAGGTTGGGTGATGGGGGTTCAGTTGGTTGTACGCGTACTAGTTTGAGGATATATACAAAGTTCCTAGTTGGCTGTGCATAAGGATCCACAATATTTAGTTGCCTTAATTATTCAATTTCAGTGTACTTTTGTACCCTGGTAGTTCTGTGTGGGTGTATGGACTTTGACTCTAACAGCTGGAAGTGGTGACTGCCTTGGATGGGTAAGGATGCTTCTCTCTAGGTAGCACTATTTCTACAAGATGGAGATAAACATGTCTTAGGTCTTATTATTGAGGTTCTGCATGCTTGTATAACAATAGATAAAGAAATTGCATCACTTACCTTTTGTTTGATGCTATTTTCAATGTTTAGGGGCAGCTGGAAGTGACAGAATGCTTAGATTGTTGCTCCAAAAGTGTGAAGTTACAGATAGTGATTGCACTTACCCATTTGGTGTTTGCTAACACTTTTATTTATAAACTACCAATTGCATCTTCATATTTAACATCATTCATGGCATGAATATACATCACAGGAAGTTCTGGTTCAAAGAAGTTTGTATAAAAGTGCATATCAGTTCTCACAGAGTAATATCTCTTTTCAAGTCACACAGTTTGTAAGGTTATTCCAAGGCACAGGAAAGGCATAACGTTTTCTTTATATGTACAGAAAGTGGGGAAAAGTGATTTCACCAGAAGCAGGTATCATAGCTTGTTTTCCTGTGCATACAGTTACCTTCTGTTTTCAACTGAGGTGTTCGGTGTGTATAACTGGAGTGACTCACAGTGCTTTTCTACAGTTGCCCATTCTACATGGTCCTCTGTAGAATGCACAGTCATGAATGCTGTTGAAAGTGGGCTTGTGCCCCCTTATTAAAGTGACACACAGATGCGCTGGATTCTCTTTGCCTTAAAACGTTTTCTTCTTTTTCTTTTGTGAAAAACAATAATAGTTAAAAGCAAGATCAGAGTGGAGAAAAGACAGCAGGCAAAGAATATTAATGGCTTCTTCTGAGAAACAAACAAACAAAAGCTACACTGCTTGTCACTGTTGGATGGATCACAGACAGAGTAGTCAGCAGGAAAGCCATTATTGCTTATCAGGTTATTGTAAAATTTTATTGAAGGCTTTCCTTTTGAGTCAGAAGTGAAGAATCCAAATCTGGGCTTAGATTTTTCTTCGGTCAGTTTAAATGCGTAGTAGCCTCTAATCTTGACTTTGTCAATGTAGTATGCTAGGAGGAAAAAAATAGAAAGTTGTTAATATTGGTAATAAAATTTTGTGTGACTTGCAGACTTTCTGGTAATGAGCTAAGTTTTCAAATGGTTATTCATTTAAAGACTATAACTATATCATAAAATATTTACTTGCAGTTATTGCTTCTAATAATACTCGGCTTCCACTGTATTAATTAGAAACAATGCATCATTGTTCCAAAAAAAGTTTGAACCTGGGAATTCTGTGCACCTACCCTATGAAAAGAGGATTTGCACAGACATGTAGCCCATATTTCCGACTGTCTGCATGTATAAATGGTATTTGGGAATGTTACAGTAAGCGCCAGCCAGCCTCCCTCCCACCTCCTGCATTGTGTTAGGCAGTGGGACCAGGCCTGCAGTTCAGAGCTATTGTAGCTGAGGAGACCATCAAAACTGAGTGCTGCTGTTTTTCCTACTTCCTTGCATATGGGCCAGGATATGAAAAAGAAGTGATCTTAAAATTCAGATGATACCTTCATTGAGAAAAGGAGATAGATGAGGGTGAGATGAACTTCACTATCCTCATTCCTCCATACATAGTGGTATCTTGTTTGTGATGTTCCCAGCTTTTCATTTCTAATGTCAGCTGGAGGTAAGAGCTGCTGCTTTTGCAAGGTGACAGGATGCCAGCTCCCACAGGCAGAGTTGAGAAGATGGAAGGCCTCTCAACCTGTTTTCCTTTGAGTCTGCAGGTCTGAGCAGATTTAGAGCTGGAGCTTTCCTCTGGCAAAAGCGAGGCCCTGCTCTTGTGAACTTACCTGCAGGACCTGTGGAGTGCAGATGGCCAGATGGGTCCTGAGAGTGGTGTTGATGAAATTCCTGCCTTATTCCAGACCCAGCTGCTCAGCCCTTTGTCATATGTGACTGTTACCCTGCTGCATGCAAGCGCTGGGCAAAAAATACTTGAATGAAATCATAAATAATAGTCCTTGATGACTATTTGTATGTAAGCACAAAGCATGACTAAGGATGTGAGCCAGACTCAGCAAAAGCATTGTAAACTAAGGAGATGTTTCCATGAGTAGTCTGAGGTATCACGCTATCTCAAAATTGAATTTGGAGCACTGTGATGGTTGCCCTTTAAATGACCTTTTCCTTTGGGTAGCAGCAGAATAACTTATTGTCCTCTTGTTTGTGTTGTGAAGTCAGTATGAAAAGTAAACCAGCAAATGTTCATCAATTCTGTAGTAATTGGGAAAGAGCTAAGCACTGGAGGAGAAATGCTCTGCTTATTGTTAGTGTCCAGAAGCAATCTGAAGCTATGGCTAGCTGTGAGTAAGACCTGCCTCATTTTTCGCATATTTAGCTCCTGGAGAGCCAGGATGTGTAGCCTGTGTTAGGGGACAGGTGCCCCAGAGAAGTTTTTGGACATCCTGTGGTCTGGCCAGGGAAGTCTCCAGTGTCTGTCAGTAGGAAATAGTGTAGGGATGTCTTGCACATCCTTGGCTGTCCGGTTCAGGTACCAGTGCCTTTCAGGGACTTTTCCATAACTGCCTGGATCTCAGCCTAACAACACAGCATTGCTGTATTTCTCATGAAATGCTATCTTCTACAAACTTCAGAGTAACTACCTACTCTGACACAGGCCCCTTCCCACATCTGCCTCTGCATCGGGCAAAGCTTGGGTCCTGGGTCTGTGCCATGAAAACAGCTCTTAGGAATCTATCATAGACTCACCTTTTAAAACCTCTTGTACGTATTTTTCTAAGTAATAGTTCCGAAGCTCATCATTGTCCAAGGACTGGTCATCTATTCCGTTTGCTGTGATGTAGATATCTATGTCACCATAGGTTCTTTTAATCCACTTCAGAACCTTGCGCACTCCCCAGGGCACCACTGCCAGCCGGGAAGGGGAGCTCAGGCAGGTGATGTCCTGCAGGAACTGGATGTCACGGTCAAACTCATACTGGCTCCCGTTCTGGGGCTCATGAATCACAAATCGTGTGGTGAAGTGATTCAGTGCGTAGAAGTCAGCTGCGCCTTTAATGAGCTTTCTTTCCTCACTTGTGAAAGATGGCAGTGAAGAGTGTGAGAGGCCTTTTGTGTTTTTAAAGTGGATGTATTCCCTCATCGTAGCTGGATAGTCTCCAGTCTTAAATATGGGGTCGGCAAACCAGCCTATTTCAAACTGAAGGAACCTGTTGGCAGCTTTGGTGTGGGACTCAAAGTAGGGGTTGGCAGGCTCGGCCCAATCTGAGTGCAGGGACAGGGACACTTTGCCGTGCTGGAAGGACCGGTACTGCTCATCATATGTTCTCCAGGCCATGGCATGCGCTATTAGTAAATTGTGTGCTGCCTGGTATGTATCGCTGCTGCTCCTGTTGTAGACATCGCTGAGTCGGTTAGGCTCATTTATTGTAATCCAGAGTTTAACCAAATCACCAAGTTCCTGAAAGCATAAAGCCGCGTAGTCTTGAAAAGCGTAGGCTGTAGACTGGTTGAGCCACCCTCCTGTGTGCAGCAAAGGGCCCGGCAGGCCCAGGTAGGCGTGTGTTGGGTAGTACAGGGTGACCATAGAATGGATGTTGAGTTTTAGCACTTCACTAATCACGCATCTGTAATACCTCAGCACCTGTCTGTTGACCACTGACAAATCTCCATTGGGTAAAATCAGTGACCAGTCAAGTGCAAATCTGTAGTGGGTGACTTTCATTTTTTCCAGGAGGTCAAGTTGCTTTTTAATACTGACAAAATCCGTACACTGTGCCGGCCGGGTTTTTAGCTTCACTCCTTCCACTTTATGCAGGAGCCCATCTCCCGTGATGTTCCACAGGTAGAGGTTTGGATCACAGAACTGGGGTGAGGATGCCACGGACTCTGCCTGGGGAATGGAAAGCAGTATGTTTAAATGAGGTCATACTGACCCCTACGCCAGCATACACTACGGCTGTTTTCACACAGATAAATGCCCCAGATGGGTTCCCTCTGTGGTCACACAAAGGACGGTTCTGATGGTTCTGCAGAGGCAGCAGGGAATGTGACAGATGGGCACAGACTGTTCTGGCACTGCTGCCAAGGTCAGTTCTGTGCAACCATGGCACAACAGTCCAGTCCCTGTTCTTACTGGTAGTATTTCTGCCCGCGCAAATATCTTACACAATTTGTAGTGCTTAGTATGAATTCCATCTCTGCTATCTTCTATCAGTTAACAAGTATCTATGTAGAAAAGGATATATTTTTACTGTTACTTTTAACACTTTTTGTAGCATGATATGCTGAAGTTTAAAATATTATTTAAAAGAAGTGGTCTTGTGCTGTATATTTACTCAGAATGCTTAACAGAATATATAGAAGCTTTATTTTTTTCTTTACAATTGTTAGTAAGTAGGATAAATTACAGAGATTTGTTGGCATTTGGGGTGGTTAATGTTTTTTTCATTGGACTGCCTTTCTGTATGTGATGACAAAGAGTATCTCAGCACTGCCATACACATTGGTCATCCTGTCTACCAAATTTAAAGCTGAAATAGGTACTGCGGGAAACAGTTGGGAAAAAAGATGGTGTGCGGTGTGCATTGAGATTCAGAATGAAAGGTACTACACCCAGTCTTTTACTCACAAAGTAAGCTCATAATTGTTCTGCCTCCAGTGGTCATTTCTGCATTTTATTTACTCTTACCTTGAGAACAGACTCAGTGATACCCCAGGAGAAGTCACAGGAAAACTGAGCTTGAACATTTGGTGTAGACTCTCTTGGGAAGAAGCCATTTTCCTGTATGATTTGTTTATAATAAAGTGCAGATGACTTGGGAATCCGTTCCTTTTTTTCACTTTTGAAATCCACATAAAATAATCCACGCCGGATTTTGTAGGCATGTTGCCATTCAAAGCCATCAAGGAGTGACCAGGCTGTGTAACCGAACACATCTATGTTGTCATATTTAATAGCTGTGTAAGAGAAATTAACATTCATGATTATATCATACTTAGTACTCTAGCATACGTATTGGAAAGTAACAGCTGTAAAAGATAAGTTTCAGTTGCCTTCAAGAACGGCAGCTGGGATCTGTTCATAACAGTGGTGATTTTATGCAACTTATTTTCATGATTCGCTGCACTATAAGTTACAAGCATACAGTGCAAAGCTTTCAGCACTCTCCTCCCACACATGCCATGTCAATAGCCACCAACCCATTCCAATGTGGCAATCATACAAATGATGTTTTTGTGGTTAAACAGATCAAATTGATTTTGCTGTAAGCATCTAATTTATATTAGATTAGATTTTTCTGTCAGTAAAAATATGAGAATATATTTGGAATGTTATTGTTGATTAGACACAATTTCCTTCACAAAAAGAAAAAAAAAACCAATAACGAAGAGATTACTCTTCTACAGAGGTTACTCTGTATTTTGAAACAGGTTGAAGTATTGGTGTATATAAAAGTACAGATTGCAGTTCCTGTAGTTTTTAGTTGAGCACTGACCCAAACATTTCAGAAGTGTGGGCCCATGGATGGTTATTACAGACAAATCTGCTGCAGAAGAGGGTTGCGTTTTCTTACCTAGTAATCTGCCTGCCATGCATCTTCAAATGCAGTCCTGCCTCAAGGCTTCCCTCTGTGGCCATGCAATATTTAAAATATCGAACCAAATATAGGAATGTAACCCCAAATTTGGGACAAACCAGGCTATGTCATATATACTGGGCTATGTGAAGTTCACAGTTTGGAACAACTTTATCTAGACAACCTTCATTAGGAGTTTGATTTTGTTTGTTGATAATCAGACACTCTGATTTCACATCTTTTCCCTTTGCTGAGGATTAGAAAGGGTTTTGTGAAGGACCTGGGCCACCCACCATAGCAGCATGGCACACAGTACATGGTGCAGGAGGGCATGGCCTCAGCTCAGGCTGGCACCCAGGCCATAGGTGTCTCCTACCCTCCAGCACCGAAATGGAAAAATACAGGCTTTGCAGAGGCTTCAAATATTAACTGCATTAATGTTTTATATAAAATTAAATCTTTGGCCTTCAGAAAGCAGACCCTGCCCTCTGGCTTTTTGAAGTGAAAATACCAATATTCAACCTGTGTAATTAAAACATGTTATCTTCTGCTTGGCATGGTGTAGTCCCAAAGAATGATTGCCATTCTCCTGCTGATTAATTCTGTGCATTTGGCATTGAAGTAGGGGCTTGGCATGACAATGACTGCCTGTTGTCATTGCCTTGTTTTCCTGCTGTCAAGGTATGTGCCCACACAAAGGTTTTACAGTCAGGCTGCCATCAGTGAAAAGTGATTGTTTACATTCATTTCTGACTCAGTTTTGTACCCAGATGTTGGACTTTAGCTTTCTGGGACAGGGACTACATATTTTTTCTGTTTGTACAACACTACCACCAGTGGATCCTGATCTGTGACTTGTACTTACACAGTAGAAATAATTAATAATTAACTTAGTTGCCATTATCTCTTTTAAAAAAAGATCGAATCCTTAAAAAGCTAAATTATCTTTAAAATTTTCCTAAAAAAAAAAAAAAATCCAAAAAAGAATCCAGCAGCTCAGTTGTGCACAAACCTTGCAACACCTTATTTATGAAGTTTTTCATCATGTAGATGGCAGTGGTGTCATCGGTTTTCACATGGCTGTCAGTGAACCAGCCGTTCTCTGCAATGAAGATCCGAGGACTGTCGTATTCCAGTTTAATCCAGTTCAGTACTTCCCTCAAATTGAGCGACAAGTTTTGTCCCATTTTTGGTAGAGTGTTCGGAGGTTTGAAGTTGTTGGGACCAAAGGAAAATGCAAAGAAGTCAGCCGTTCCTTTTATGTACTTTTTTTCATCCTCAGTAAAGCGTGGCAAAAAAGATTCATTTTTCAGATCTTCTGGATAATCGCCGTCCCCATGGATGGGTTTAGCAAACCATCCAAGCACTCTCTCCACAGACTGCTGGCATTTAGAAATGTCCAAAGTGTCTTCCGATCTGTTGGGTTCGATCCAGTGGGATCCCAAGACTATGGACATCAGTCCCTTCTGATACGGTTGAAAGTGTTTCTTGTAGTTATGCCAGACTTTTGCATGAGCCTGATAAAAGAAAAACAAGGTTGAATTGTGAGGTGAGGTACTGGAACAGGCTGCCCAGAGAGGTTGTGGACGCCCTGTCCCTGGAGGTGTTCAAGGCCAGATTGGATGGGGCCCTGGGCAGCCTGGTCTAGCATTAAATGAGGAGGTTGGTGGCCCTGCATGTGGCAGGGGGGTTGGAGATTCATGATCCTTGAGGTTCCTTCCAACCCTGGCCATTCTGTGATTCTGTGATTCTGTGAATTGCTGCTATTTAATAAATCTATGTCTGTGTAGGCAGCCAGACAGACAGGTAGCTAGGTTTGATCTGCTGCAGACTTCTGAGGCAATATCACTGAATGATTATGGTACAACAGTCACCCCAAAGAGATGCACTGGGCAGTATCTGCTAAAATGCAAGGTCTTTAGATGGTGGTAATGCTCAGCATCTCCTGTGTGCTGTTGCTATGATGCATTTGGCTTTTTGCCTTTTGATATAGGTCTGAAGGTTAGATGTTCCAGCAGATACGTGAAATGGCTCTTGTAGCTAATTTTAGACCAAACAGCTGTTGACAGTGGAATATCAGAGATCTGCACAGTCCCAGCTAGTCCTTTCTTTGTAAAGTATTGATTGTTGGTAGAGTTAAAATTTTAAACTGTAATTACAGTTTTTACATTAATTATATATCTCAAATTATGTCTCCTGTGTCAGTGTTGGCTCTGTGCTATTGATTGACTTTGTGCTCTGGGGGCTACCTGAATTTTCTGTGATCAGAACACATCCCCTCTGTTCTGTTCTTAGGATGCACTTTCATTTGTTTGAATTTGCACTAACTATACAAGTGTTCCACTTTAAGTATCCTATGTACAAAATGTGGAGGAAGCTCTAAGCTGCAGCTGCAAAATTTGAAACAAAATGTTGTTTCACAGTGTGAGAATTTTGATCCAGGTTTACAGTTCATTTCTTCTTTGAAGTTGCTATAATTACAATTTTCCTGACAGTATATAAAACAGAACAGAATAAAGTTTATTCCTTTGAAGTATTCATTCTGACAGCAGCACCACTTTGGTTTCAAAAGGAAATCTGACAGCTGCATTTCCCAAGTTTTATTGGTTATGGCACATATCAGCACTCAGGTGATGCCAACCAATGCCTTCTGTAGGACAGACACAAGTTTTGCCAAATGTATTAGTGGCAATGAAAACATACCCTGTATTGCATTGTAATTCAATTTGTCAGATCATCATCGCGTTTTAGACAGTTTAACATTGTCACACACCAGAATTACCTTTGAATGCCACGTTAATTATTTAGTTAAGAGATCGCATAAGTCAAAATTTTTATGGTCTGTGCATTAAAACGAATGTATTGGAGATTTAGGAGCCACTAGCATTGCTCTGAGTCCTGTGCAGGAAAATAGGAGATTGCATGTGTCAGAGAAGGATGGCTCTGGATATTCTGGAGATGGATGTGATAGAGGAGAGGAGCTGGCACTTCCCCCTGCTGATGAGTTGTCCAATAACTCAGGGTTTACACTGCTCCTGAAGAATGGCTCTATACACTAAGCTTTAAAGCAAATGACTGTTTGCACCCAGAAAAACGAGAAATATTGTGAAACACTTCTACGAGTTTGATTGACATTACAAAGCCAAACAGCACTGCTTACATTTGACAATAATTTCAGCTAATTTATCTAGAAATGCACTGCTTGGAAAAAGAAAAAAAAGAAAAAAAAGAAAAAAAGGCCTGATGTCAGGTAGATATTTGGTTGAACTCAGGAGTACTGTGGAATGACAGCTTGTGAAATTTTGTGTATCAGTTGTTTATGGTTTCTAAGGTCATACTTGTAACATTCGTTCAAGGTCTGTCTTTGAAAGTACTGATAAAGCAACATTAACCTTTGAGATGCAGGTTAAAGGGAGGCCAGCAAAATTGTACTCACCAAGAAAATTGAAAGCTACAGTTATAATGTTACAAAAAGGATTTCTTACTAGGCATATCAGAAAATCTGTGTGGCCAGTGCCATCCCCTCAGGGGACCCTCAGTCTCCCCTCCCGGAGGTCCCTCCAGCCCCACATGGCTGCTGGGGCCAGCCTTACTCTGGTGTCAGCTTGTTCTTGCCTGTCCCTACTGATTCCCTACATGGTTAATGAATATTTTCCCACACACAGCCTACTAACACCTGTTTAATGAAAGATACATGTTTCTGTTGGTTTGACAAGAAAAACTTTGCTCAAGTCAGCTGTGTTAATCACACAGCCAGGTAGCAGGACGGGGGCATCTGGTAAATCTTAGCAATACGTACCTCTAAATAAAGTGGAGGAAGAAGGCTTTGCCCAAAACCAACCAATTAAAAATGCACTACTGACAGGTAAAAGACTATTAGGGAGACTTCATTAGCTGCATATGCAATTTCAGGAAGTTGATTAGAGAAAAATAAAGTTACTACTAAAACACTGAAGGTGTGCAGGTGTGAAAGCAGCCACAGGTGCTTCTACAGGAGCAGAACTCTAACAGAAATACGTGCATCTAGCATGAGTCAAGGTAGGATTTTCACATTACAAATTAATATGCATCACTGATGTTTTCTAATTCCAAGGGCTTAAGTCCCAATTAAAAAAAAATGTGACTGGTCTATATTGAAGGTTTTTGCAGTTGTAGATGCAATAGCTTTTGCTCACCAGTAATTCTGTTTTGAGCTGTTAATTGTCTGTGAAGCAGCTTAGCATTCTCAGGTGAAGGATGTATTCTAACTGCAAACTGTTACTGATGGAACCAGCTGATAATCAGAATTTGTTTTGTAAGATGAAACATGAAATAAACATTGATTTAAAAGCTGTATCATACATTACGATGACTATTTGGAGTAAATCTTGACTAATCTTTTGTTTTCAGTTACAGTTTAATCCCTAATCTTTCACTTTCCTTGTTAGATCAAGGACAAATGTCAAGGCTGAGTACACAGTGAAAGCAGGATCAATATTGGATATTTATTCTAGATACGTATGACATTAATTTGAGCATATTGTCCTGGTATTAGTATAGCAATTATTCCATAGACTTCAAAGTCACAAGAGTGTTAAGCCAGTTAGTATTAACCCTGCAAAAAGGCTAGCTAGAACAAGTCAATTTAATAAAACAAAGACAACAGCGTTGCTCTCTCTTGAAATATTCTCATGCTCCTTCAAACTCTGCTGCTGTAAATTATTTTCTGTATAGAAAAAAAAGCTTATCATAGAAATACCAACACTTTCAGATTCATAAGATTTGCTACAATAAAGTGGCTTTCATAGAATATCTCAATATCGAACGCACAAAACAACGTAGAGTTACTTCAGCATGCTGGCCAGCAAGAGAATGTTAAAAAATCCTAAGAAAGAGATTCTTCCTTTGTGTTTAGTTGTTTGGGTTTTAAAAAATGAGGAGCTGGAATAGGCAGTCTAATGATGACAGTGTAAAAATCACTTCAGAAGCAGAGCAGGTGTGGGGGGCTTATTTGGAGAGTTGATTTTGGTTCGAGGCGCTTTTGGTCTGTGGTAAAGTTGCCCTGTGGTCAGTAGAGATAACGCCTTTCTTTTGCAAACTGACTCTGAAGCTGAGTCCTTATGGAGGAAAAAAGGGCTGTGGACGTGTAGGTGATCAAATTTTCAAAGGGGTGGTTTGAATGTTTTATGATGGAATTTGATGAGTGTTAGCCGTTCTGCACTTGGATTGCATGTTTCCTGATGGTTCCCAAGAAGTGTAAGCAAGCTAAAGTGAAAGCAACAAATTGTATAGAAAAGTATGAATCATTTCTTATTCAAACCTTGTAAAGTACTGTCATCACTGATGGCTGACGCTGTTTGAAAAATTTTCAAGCAGTGACATTTGTAAGCATAAAAATTCTGCTGTCTCTCTAGAGCCATACTTGATGGACACCAATCTTTCTCCTGTTGTAAGAAAGGTGGGCACTGGTATATAGCTTCATCTTTCAAGATCCTGAGGAGAGAAAGGGCAAAAATGTCTGTGTGGACTTAGGTATAAAATGATTCCTGATTCCTTCAGCAGAAATTTGTTTTTAAAGAGAATGAATTATGGGACTTCTCAGGGACACACTTGTCCAAAGAGCCCAAAGGTGATAGTGTGTCTGTGAAGAGACCTGCTACCAGAGAGCTAGGAGTAACTCAGCCAGGCACAGAGAGGTACCTGATCTGTGATGTGATGGATCTGTGTGTAGACATCACATGTGTACTTTTCCAAGAGTGTGTTATTAAAACATGTCAATGAAAAAAATTTGTAGCATGATTTCCTTGTTCTGCTAGCTTTCTCCTGCACTTTTCAGCAAGGAGGAAGGGAATGTAAACAGTCTTAAACACAGTATTAAAAAAAAAGTCAGTTTCTGCCTGTCACAGCAAGGACAGAACTGCCTGGAGGACAGTGATACAGAAGAAAAGATAGCTGGTCTGTAGTTTGCAGTGTTTACAAACCTCAGCCTAAGAAGCAGAAAGTACATAACTAGATCTACAGAAAATGGTGATAATTGATCTGATAAATATCTGTTTAGTTCTGGTGACAATGATTCAACTGCTTCATATTTTCCTGCTTTTTTTCCAATGTAACTACTATCAAATCAAAGAAATGCATCCATTTTTTTTTTCTCTGTGCAAGTCTCTTCTTCCCTACCTCAGTAGTGCCTCAGAAGCTAACTCAGTGTTTTTGTATTTTGTTGATATGTCTTTCAAGTGTCACATGGCAAGTTACACCTCACTGTGTTCCAGTGTTGCTTTTGTGAAGGACAGTCCCTTTTAATAAAAAAAGGAGATGCAGACTGTCTTTCTCCACGTGGTATCCAATTTCACTTGTTCCCTATATTAGTGACTACCATCTGATTGAGTAGAGATTCACCTAAGTGAGAGTATTAGCCATTTATAATTTAAAAGCTTCAAACAACATATTTCCTATTCATTTCCATGTGAATACTATCAGGTCTTTTATAATGATCAGCAGCATTATGACACACTGTGTAAAATATATACAGGCATATATTTTAGATGGAAACATTGATATCTATATATTGTTTTCTGAATGCAGAACTCCCAAGCACACTGCTTAGCAACCTTTGCGTCTGCATTCAGTAGCTCATTTTATTTCTGGGTCTTGAATAACAAGAGGGCTGGCTCTTAGAAGATGCATCTGGGCCATTTCATTAGAAGGATGCAAACCACAGAAAGAAAGCACATGTAACAGCTGACGCAGCGTGTGCAATACCTAGGAACAGCATACGTCTCCTGAGCTTGAAGAGAACAGATAAATCCTTCTTTTGTTGAAAATCTTTCATGAGATAATTACTTACCTAATGACCTTCATTCATGGAAGCAGATCATTGTTTTATTGGTTCTAAAACATGTGGATTGTTTTGGTTTTTTTTTCCCCAACTAAATATTTGCGTTTTAAGCTGTTGGTTTTCTTCAATCTACCAAAGTTGTTAGTTAAGAATTAAAATAAATTTCTTCTTAAAGATTCTGGCTACCTGTCTTGAAAAGCATACCACTCATGTCTTACGTGGTATGCTGGCTTTAACTATGTTTTATTAAGAAATTTCTACATATATATATATAAGATGTGTTGACTTGTGTCAACAGTTTCCACAAGAGTTTCAATTCCACCTCCAACCACAAAACATCACACTCCAGATGCTCTACTACAAATTTACAATTCTTTGTAAAGAAGACCTAAAATCTTCAGGAGTTTTACAGTGCCACTGGAGAAAATTGCTAGTACATTTTGTAATGTTCACAGTGATGTGAGAAAGATACAACATGAAAATAACTTCTGCTCAAGAATAACGTATTGTGTGTTGCACAAAGTCTCACTAAATCCTTCTTTCTAGTGATTTGTCTTATGCTCAGAAGCATAGATTTTAAAACTAGAATGAGTTAAATGATCTTCACCAAGAAACTTCACTTAGTAATCTGTGTATCAGACCTGGCTCTGCTTGGCTTCCTGGCACACTCAGCTGATTCTTCAGCAGAGGTATTGCTCTCCTTGTGCTATGTGGTGTTTATATGGATTTTACTGTGGAAAAATGCAGACACTGATAGCCCAGTTTCAATTATACTCAGAAATGTAGGCAAGCCATACCGCATACTTGCATTACATCCTTTACATGCATTGTATCAAAATATATCTTATGTAGCACTTGAAAAATAAAAGGAATGATTGGGCATCAGTTCTCTTTGAGATGCTTCACAAATCTCTGAAGCTAGGTCAATGCATGTGCTGTGTCTGAAATCAGTTATTGAATCTGGACACCTGATGACTTTTTTGTGTAAAACTTCTATTGACTGCAGTGTGAGCTTTTCTGAAAAAAGATGTTCTCCAGTTCAAGCCTGGAAGCAAATAGAAGAAATAGAAGTTGCAGAAAATTTTAAACACTGTTAATTAATATTTCCCAATGTGCATACTTCTTTCTACGTAACAAATACATTTAGATGTATTTGTTAATTACATTTATAATGTATGGTAGGCAGTAGAAAAGGTCTCTATGACAGCTAGGAATTGCTTGAGCAATTATGGAGAATTATACTAGCTTCTCTATCAAGCAGTCAGGACAACAACTTGCTCTTTAAAGTACTTAGAGCACTACAGATGAAAAAAGATGTATTTATATTGTTAATTATCTTAAACTGCTGTTTTAAGAGATTGTTTTAAATTACAGCACAAGAAAATAAGATTATAAACTCTTAAGCATATGAACAAGCTACTCTGTGGAATGAAATCAGAGATGCTGTAAATTCTGTTAAGTTCTTGATATTAGCATGAATGTCTCTGTTTTTCCTTAAAAATATAACCTTGAGACTCCTCTTCTTGCCCTTCTCAAAGAAAGAATATTATGGATTTAGGACCCAGTACTGAAGCTGTTGAAGCTACCGATCGTGGGATCCAAATCTATTGGATGTCTAAGTCTGTAGAAGAAAGCTGATACATAAAATAACACTCACATAAAAATGAAAATGCAGAAATTGCTATGGGAATAATGTGATTTTGAAACTCTTAAATAGTAATGGAGACATTTGTAACATTTGTAAAACCAAGAACTGATGACCTTGCTAGGTCAGTGATAAACATTTTGCAATATGATCTATACTAAGCCAGAACTAATCATATTTGTATAAACACATCTTCTATTAGTAGTAGAATTATCACATATGCAAATAGAAAAACAATCTCTGTATGAGCTAATAGAATAGTCATTTCAGTGTAACTAAAAGAAAAGAATAAAGAAGGAAACCTGTGATCTTTAATAGGTAGATGCTGTAAGCAAAAAGAAATTTAAATAGAGAAATAAACAGGCACCTGAAAACAATTACTGAATCAACTGTTGAGACTACAATGAAATAAACATGAAGATTAAAAAAATATTATTTTAAAGACTGCCTATATTTTTTGGTATTTTCACATTCCTTCATTATTATCTTTTAACATAGATTACATGATTGATTTCTCCCATTACTTCCCATGACAGTGCAAGATTAGTTTGTAAATCCTTATTATACTGTACCTTGATCAAATTGTGTCCTACAGCGTAGACAGTGGTTATTTTCCCTTTCTCTCCAGGAGCATGAATACCTGTGCCATACCCATGCCAAGCAACTAAATAAGGATTGTGGATGGTAATCCAATATTTAACACGATCCCCAAAGGTCTGGAAGCAAAAGGTGGCATAATCATTGAAGATATCAATGACCGATTCATTTTTCCATCCCCCATATTGTTCTTGCAGTGTCAAGGGCAGGTCCCAGTGGTACAGGGTAACCACAGGGTCAATATTTCTGTAGATCAGAGAGTCAATAAGGGTGTTATAGTACTGGAGTCCTCTTTTGTTAGGAGCTGCTACCACTCCAGTGGGAAAAAGCCTTGACCATGAGATTGAAAACTGGTAAAAGGTAACTCCTAAAAAATCCAGAGCTGACACATCTTTGTCCAGCAAGGTGTAGCTGTCACTGGAAACATCTGTGCTGTCAGTGTCTTTGAGCTCCGCGTGGATGAAGCGGTCCCAGATGGAGGGTCCTCGCTCGTCCTTCCTCCAGCTGCCTTCCACCTGGAATGCCCCTGTCCCTACGCCCCAGAGAAACTCTGTGGGGAAAGTGTCATACAAAAACATCTGTGTTTCACTCACAGGACTGGAGTTGGGGTCCTTTTTCCACACAGATCTTCCCTCTCCGGCAAGCCCAGCAACGATCCTTATGAAAACTAATGTCCAAAAAGCAACAAATCTCTTCAGCTGTCGGCCACGCATTATGCTGCTTTATAACGCCAGCGTTAGAAGTCAGATTCCCTTCACCGATACTGAAAAAAATCCATTCATTCCCTGGAATCCCTGCTGTGCAGGCTGTCTTCACTTGCCGCTAACTGCTGGAGTGTCTTATCAAAGCTTCACTAAAAGCTTGTGATTGTAAAAGCCCTGTCAATGATTAGCCTGAACTGTGAGACCTGGGGTGGGTCAGAGAACAGCGTAATTTTTAGGGAGGTGCCCTCAGTGTGGTCACTGAGACACCTCGGCTGTGTTCTTACTGCAGGAAAATAGGTTACCCGAGCGAAACAGAAAGCTTGGGCACTCGCATGGGAACATACAGGTGACAGGGTGCTAAGAAGCTGTCCTGTTCTCTGTTCCTCCTGAAACTGTATTACAAGGAAATGAGGAAGAAACAGAATTCTAATTACAAGTCCTCAATTAAAGTGTGATTTAAAATTTTTAATGATTCACATGTTAAATTGTAAGAGTGCCAGAAGGGCTTGGGGGTCCTTTCCCAAAGTTTAATTTTGCCTGCAAGAAATGTAACATACAGCATTAGTATACAGTTTATTTCTAGAATCAGGACAGAATTGTGCCTACAAAGAGACTGTAACATACATATGCCTATCCTAGTAATTACATAGAAACACAAGGCGAGGCTAAATTTATTCCAAATACACACAACTGCTGTTATAGCCCTATGTACAGCATCAGTTTGAAATTAACACGGGTTTGTTCTAGTCCTTAAGCAATTTCCCTTAATTTCTTTAAATAAAAATAATTAGCAAAGATAATTAGGCTTGAAAGATGTTATTTTGTTATTAATTTAATAACCTTGCAGCTGGGCCATCAGTACAGGGAATATCTTACAGAGCAACTAGACAGTATTTTATAATCTCATTTTTTAACATATTTCAAATTGCAGCTAAACTACGCATGTGAAGATTTGGTAAATTTAATAAATACCGTAAGGCTGATGCCTGCCAGTCTTGATTTCTTCAGATAAAGTCATATAAAATGTATTCACGCTACAGTCAGAGTTGCTCGATAGCAATGGATCTGTACCTGCAAGACGGTCGTGCACTGAAATCTGAGCATGGAACAACTTACCACGTAGGTACAGCACTGTGCTCAGATGAATTAGCCCTGTTGACATGCAGGAGATGAAAGTCCAGATGGGCAGCTGGGCTACGGCTGCTTTATTGTTCCTGCTGCCTGTGAGAGCATGAGAGCAAGCAGCACGGGTGTCTCTTCCAGCATAGCATAATGCCATTCTGACATACCTTCAGTTTAATTAAAACAGCGGAAGATGGAAGACATTTTATGTATTTGTTTATAAGATAAACAACAAAAAACTGTATCTACCTCAGTGCAACTCTGTAAGCATATCTCAGCAGCACTTTTACAACAGACAGTTTCACCATAGGTGATGGAGAAAGCTCCCACCAACATCTTCACTGCAGATCTCCAGCGGCAGAGCAGCCGCTCACCTAATGTCAATCTGTCCATCCGAGCAGACCCAGCACTCCCTCAGCACCTGTTCCCTGCTTTCAGCAAAGATCCTACAGATACAGTTTGAGAAAGGGAGGTGTAGATAGGACCTGTACCAAGTGGATCTACAGTATAGAATGACACGTTCCTTTTTTACTACATGGAATAGCATTTGAAATATTAATTGGATTAATTATTGTATGAACAGAATCCTTCTGTTTTAGCATTTAAAAGCTTCAACTGTATGTACTGTACTATGAAACAAAACTGAAATACAAGTCATTAAAGATGCTACTGTAAAGCTAAAGTAGTTAGATACCATGATCAACATATACTTGAGCTCAAAGCACCCATGAAAGCTCAAAGCATTGGGGCGACTGTATTGACAAAGTATAAACGACAGGCTTCTGCCCAGCAACTACAGCAGGGCTAGCACAGCTTGCACCTTATTTCAAACATGGTGTGGTGCATTTGCATGAAATGCAAAGGGCACAGCAGAGGCTTGTGCTCCCAGATGCTTAATTGAGATTAAGTTACTAACTGTATTTCTTTCATTATTATCCATATGACTTGGAGCATGCCCTAATCGAGGTTTGAAAATGACTATATTTATCTTCTTTCTGCTTTGTCATTTTAACTGGTTAGTCTATAACGTTACTTGATAAAAAGGAAGCAAACTGAGGAGAATCATATTGTGACTCGAGTTTGAAAAGAGAGATGTGATTAGCTGAGCAAAGAGTTGGGGAAAGGAAATACTGTGACTGTTAAATCAGAAAACAATTTGCACAGCCAAGTGAGATGGGATCAGGGACTGCTGAGAAGTGAGGGTGCAGCTGGAGGGGAAGAGAAGAGGCGGTATTTAATTATTGCACCAGCTCAGGTGGCAAAGTCAGAGCAGGCTCCAGCCCTAATGCTGTTGTGGATGTCCACAGTGGGATTTCCTGCCTCCAACCGTGCATTTAATAGCCTTGGTTTGGGAATAAATCGAGGCTGGGAGAGGCTGTGGTCTCCAGGGCATCTGCCATTGATGCTGCATTAGTTGAGAAGCTCAGTTCTCATCTGTCAAATTTCTATTCTTGCTTCTGTCTTGATTAAGCAATTCCAGTTATGAACCAACTTTTCACTTGAACACTGATCACATATTCTCAGTTCAGCTTGGAAACATGGGGCTTGATTTGGAATACGTGAATTGCAAGCAGGAGAGTTTTGAATGTATGCAGCGTTAGCATATGTGAGCGAGGACACACTTTCTGCCTAGATACTCAAATGAAGATGGAGAAAAGACTTAGAAAGTTCACTTAGAAAAAAAATGTAATGTTTACATTAGCATTAGCTGCTCAGGCCTGCTGAGGTCTCCAAAAAAGCACAACTTACGTAATTCTCTTCCACAGTGTACCTCTCTTCATCTTATACAGCAAAAACTGTTTGAGATGGGATAAAAGTCTTTTCTAAAGACACATAATTGCAATGGCTGCTATAGAAAGCCTGATGTCAATAGAAACTAGATCATAAATTTACAAAGAACTTTTGGAATTTTTGGTCTGCAACAAAACACAAATTCCTGTTTTAAAAAAAAGAGATAAATTTGTGTTTTTTGTTTTTTGTTTTTTATATGGACTCTAATAACAAGAATATTCTCTACAGGATTCACATGAAATGCAGTCAACCATCTAGAAAATGAATATTTTAATGTTTATTAGCGCTATGAAAAAAAGAAGGAAACATTGTTGCTGTGTTTTCTTAATCACAGCACTATGATAATTGCATTCATTAAGGCACTTCCTAACTTCTGAGGTTCTCTGGTTACACATAGAGCTCAGAATATCTCTATTCCATGATACATCATAAAGATTTCTTAAGTGACTGACATTGGCCCATAAAACAGCTGAGAAACATTGCCTTATGGACTTCAGAAGTGTATCAGGGCTATGGTGCAAGTTTATTTGTTTTGTACTTTCATTATTTCCTGCAATTTAAAACAAATTTTGTACAGCAGTAAATAAAACATTAAGATAGTTTCAATGAAATTTTATTTCAATTCCAAAATGAACCAACATGTTAGAATACAAAAATTTTAAAAGAAACTAGAAAATATTAACAGAAGGAAAACGGACAAATCTATGTTTCACTTATGAATATGAGAAGGTGTATTTTCGTTATAAACAACCTCTCATTAAACATGAAAAGGTCTTCAGTGATCATCGCAACAACAGTAAGACTGGTTTTGTTCAACAGGGAAGAAGCCGAGGGCTTGAGTTAACACCTCAACACTTCTTCATGTATTTTGGAAAATATCAGTAGAAAAGTCAAACATTCTTTCAAGAAAGGTAGAAAACAACTCAAGTTTTCTATTTTTTGTCTTAGTTGTATGGAGGGTGATGACGCTGAGTGAACTTTTGTTACTTAAAAAGAAAAAAAACCAACATAATACTTTCAGTAAGATAATATGCCCTTAAAACATAACCCATGATCACTTATAGGATCGGTAAGGATTCTGCCTCGGTTTTATCTTGCAAAGCACACAATAATATCAGAGACTATTCAGGTTTGTTCTTGCAGCAGAGCACAATTTTTGGGCTTGCAGTGGTATCACAGTGGTACAGAAACAGAGAATCGTTCCCCTGCTGTGACCAGAAGTGAACAACAGTACCTTACAAGTACCCCGCTCTTCTTTTTGTGAAGGGTTAATAAACTCCTGCCTTCCAAGAAACACGAACGTGTCACAAGCCTGCAAGCAGATACTGCTCTGCTGATGTTATTCTAGGTACTGTTATCAAATACAAACAGAGATAACCACCTGCAATAATTCTTTTAGCATTATTTAAACAGTTTGTGCGGCTCTTACTAATGTCAGCCTTCTCAACTCCTCTTTAATTCTCCTATCAGGAACAGGCATGGCATTAAAGATGACATAATGAGAAAGAGATACATAAATACAAACACATTGCTAGAGATGTTTTTCCGAAGAGATCCTGGTTTTGTTTGCCTAGCCATTACAGCCGAGCTCCCGCAGTAAAAGCAGAAAGTAGTGAGGAGCGCAGGCTGCGCTGCGGGCTGCACGTGCCTCTTTCACGTGGTAAGCAGAGATCTGTTTCTGCAAGCTATGCAGAAACATAACGTTAAGAACACAGAACACAGGCTCCAGGTGGCCGTGGTCCCCAGAGCTGCGCTGAGACTTGGGCTCGTTGCTCTTTCACGAGTGGCTTTCTAAATCAGTGGTTGCACTTTGGATGTTGGAAGTCCTGCCTGTCCGCCCATTTTCTCCACCGCTGGCAGCAGCGAGCTCGAGCGGCTCCAGCGAACTGCAACACCGAACTCTGAGAGGAGGTCTGATGCTTATTTCGTTTCCATCAGCGCATTCACCCCCACCGTCCAACAAGCGGAGACGCAAACGACAGAAAACTGAAAATCCGGCCCGAGGCCTGGGCGGATGGCGGGCAGCCGAGCAACCGGCCGAAAGCCAGCGGCTCCCAGCGGGCCGGGCGCTGAGAAGCGCGGCGTGTCCCTGAGAGGACGGCGGGACCAACCCGCGGAGCCGCCCCACACGGCCGGCCCCGCCCCGCCCCGCCCATCGCGCTGTGACGACAGCGGCGCGCCCGGTGGCGGGAGTTGGCGCGAAGGTTGCGGGGCGCGGGGTGGGCGGAAGCCATGGAGTCGGAGGCGTCCCGCTAGCGAGATCACCAACGCCGCCGCCAGCAGCATGGTGAGCGCGCAGAGCGGCGCAGCGCCGCCCGGCGCCGCGAGGGCCGGGGCTCTGAGCAAAGGCCGCGGGCCCGGCGCCGCGGGGGCGGCTCCCGCCGTGGGGGGGGGGAGAGCGGCGTTGCGCAGATCGCGCCGTTGGGGCCGCGTGGCGGTTGCGCGCCTTCCCGGCGCGTGCGGCTGCGGCCCCCGTGCCGCCGGAGCCGTCGGCGCGCGGCGCGGCTCTGCCGAGTAGGTCCCGCGCTGAGGCGCGGAGGCCGTCGGTGCTGCGGTTGCGGCGCTGCTCCCGCCCCGAGGCCGCCGCCTGCGGGCCCGGGTCCCGCGCGTGGAAGAGCACACGGAACCGACCGCCCTCGGCTCACCGTCCCGAGCGGGAGGTGTCCGCGCCTCCTGCCGCCCCCGGGCGCGGCGGGGTACCGGGCACGCCGAGAGCAACGCCTTCCAGCGCTGCTTCCGTCCCCCTCGGCGCTGCCTGCCCGGCTGCCAGCCGCCCCTTGTGGTAGGCCGGATACGTGAGAGCGTTTCTGCTTCAGCGCAGAGCGCTGCATTGCGCTCGCAGAAAAATAAGTGCTTGAAAGTCTGGAAGTAGATGTGATCACCAGTAATGGAGCACGCAGCCCTAATGGGATTGTAACTATAAACACACGTGTGTCCCTGTGTGCCCTTTCCAAAGTGCTGCCCGCTTACACAGCCGTTATAGGATGGGCTCCTGTATCATCTGTTGCTCACATACGTTGGTTTCTGCTCAGGTGGGATCTCGGTGCAAGTTCTGCACTGCCTTAACTAAAAAACGTTATACGAAGCCAGGTTGGCTCAACTTTGGTTTTAGACTTTTCACACAGACCTTAATATCTTTTACCCAGTGCTAAGCACTGATGGGCAGTGCTGTCTGTGTCTGCCAGCACTAAGAGCCCTGACACAAATGACCTGTGGTGTTTAAGTCACCAGCTGCCCCACACGGGCTGCTGAAGCTCTGCAGCAGAACAAGGCATTTGCTGCCTCCCTTGCCACCGCCTGTCAGAAAGCTGAACTTCCGGAAGGTCCTCCCTTCCCTCTGGTATTCTGCTTCTGAATGTCCCGCATCTCTCAGTGTTGGTACTTCCTAGAATAGAGGAAGACTGCCGGCGTGGAGAAAGGATGAGTTGCCTCAGTCCATGTTCTTTTCTTTCCAGTGCCGAAGAGAAGTGGTTGTACAGCCATTAGTGCTGCAGTTGTGAAAGTAGGGGCAGAAAAAACAGCGATGTCAGTATCCCTGTACCCTGCTCTGATATTCAGGAGCAGCTGGGGCATGCTGGGATGTAATACTGGGCTCTTACAAACAGACTTTTATCGTGTAGTGCCCAACAAAAGTGTCCCCTGTCAGATTGGTTCTGCAGCTTATCAGCTGTGCTGAGCTGATGTGTGCAGTTAAACAACAAGTTGATTGGTGGGGGAAGGGATTCAGTTTTTACCTAAATTAATTGCCTGACCCAGTGTGAAGAGCTGTACCGGTACAGCTGAGGGGATGTGTGATGGGAAGCAGAGCTACCTGAGCTGCCTCTGAGAGAAACAGTCCTGGGCCAATGCTGTGGCATTAGCTGCTGCGTACTTGGAACTGTGATTCTGCTCTAAAAACGCTGCATGGTACCTGTGCCTCAGTTACCACTATTAACTTCAGTGCAGTGATCCAAGCAGGCATTACTGGTTTAACTGAAGTGATGTTGTACGATTAATTTCAGGTAATGCAATTTTTCTGGAGATGCCAGATGTCAGAGCTGATGTTTTTGCAGAACTTGCACTAAGATAGACTGTAAATAAGTATGAGCTATCCTGCACAGGCAAGGCACTTATGGACACCTTTTGGAATACTTCAAGTTGTGCTGCTTCCCATTGCAGTCATTGAGTGAGTTTGTGAAATTCAGTTTTCTGTTTCAGAATTTAGTTCAGAGATGCAAACATATTTGTATGATGTTATTTTGGAAAGTTTTCTATTTATTGGACACTGGTCTTTTAAAACCACTACTTAAAGAGTTTGATGCTGTTGGGGTTGCTCCGTCTTCTAAACACTGGAACAGCTGTTGTTGCAGGAAAAAAATGTCACAGAAAACCAATATGGAATGTTTACGACTTTTTTTGAACTGAATATTTACCAAAGTCTTGAAAGTTATCCTGGCAAGCTCTTTGGGTTACCACCTTTAGTACTAATAACAAATGGGTTTCGCTTTCTATTTCTCCTTAGTAAAATGGGTGTATGCAAATCTTCCAAGAGAAAACATGCAGCCTACTGTGATTCATTGCTGTCTTGTAAGGCTGAGGATTTGAAACAGTAGTCAAAACTGGCAAGAGCTAGCCAGTACTGAGGTTGTGCAGTTAGGAAGATCGCAGAGCAGGAGGCAGCCCCCATGAGCACAGCTGTTCAGGCTGTCCTGGTCTTAGGCATTACCTAACTCCCTAATCTAGTGGGGGTGATCAGAAATATTGGGCCTTGGCTGGGACTGTGGCTAGGTCTCTGCAAAATTTGGTGCTCAGATGTGGCTCAGAATCCTTTATTTGGTAGCTGTGATTTAAGATGCCTCTAAACTGTCCCACTAAGCGGTAATTTCATTGACCCTCTTATCTGTGTGAAACCACTCCAAGTTATGCATAGGATTGCTACTGCTGAAGCACCCCGGGGAGCTGCACTAGTATAGGCCCAGCTCTTCAGTTCTTTAGAGGATTGCCAGTAGTGGTCGTGCTGGTGAGTGCATCTCCTCAGGCACACAGGACACAGATCCCAGAGGAAATGCTACATTGCTGTCAGCCTTCTCTCATTTGAGTGAGCGTATGCAGTTCTGCCAAATGGTGAACTTGTGTGTGAGTGGCATTATATACCAACAATATAGTTGGTCACAGGATGTTAAATAGGTAAAACCAGAATGGTGGCTGGCAATAAGATCTGGGAACGAAGCTTACGTAGTGCATCTCCTGGAGTCGTTTTGCTGGATACATATACTGCTTCATTTCTGCAACAGGTGCAATGAATTGTCTGGCATCCCTTGATAAATAGCATAAAAATCTTTCTGCTATCAATCTCAGACAAAAACTTATCTGAAAGATGACTTTATTGTTGCACTGTGATGTACTGGTCTCCCACACAATTTTGAATTCACCATCTGTTATAGCCCAGCAGTGGCTAACAGGGTTACTTTTCCTTCTGAAGAGTGGGATGACTGGAGGAAATTGGGGGATATATAACTGAAGATTGAAGAAGATGGTACAGAGTTGCTGAATTTCCTTTGTAGCTTAGGGCTCTGTAGTTTAGTCACTCATAAGAAGATTGTCAATATGGGAAATGAAAATTTATTACTTAAATAAAATACTTTATTCAGAAATGGCCTGAAATGGTGGCTTCTGTGTGGTTACATTTGTAGTATTTAATACACTCATACAGTAATAGAAATACGGAAGGAAAAGTGCTGCTGTTTCTGAGGACTGATAATTTGCAGCCAAGATAACAGTGTTGTGTTAGCACAGGGAAGCAGTTTTGGAATCTGCAGTTGCTATATTACAACAGTATTCTCAAGGAAAAAGTAATGTGGTGGTTATTGATTGCTTGATAGTTAGAAGATGCTGCTTTGAGCAAAACAAAAAAGTCATGAGATCTGATGGGACAGAAAATAAGAATTTACGTGGTATGATTTAGGCTTTAGCAGTCGAGGAACAGTGATGAAAGTAGTGGAAGAAGCTGGGGCAGGCAGATGAGTTTCATGCATCTCCTTTATTAAGTCTTCGTTTCAGAATCCAGGATATGATGGTATTTCCATACTATTTTCCATCAGATCAGCAGACTCAAAGAGTTTTTAGTTAAATTACTAGAATGGAGTTACTAGTGATTTAAAAATAATTATTCACCAAATGTTTTAAAGTTATAACTAACATCTATCACTATGAAAATCTCGCCTTAATCTAAAGTCAGTTTGGTTTGCAGTGTTGTAATGTTTAAGTTATGTTATTATGTAAAAGATCTAGTGAGGACTGTAAGCAGTTTTTCTGTTGTGTTTCCTTATAAGAAGGCAGTAATGCTGATGGAGTTATCTGGGCCACAAATCTACTACGAAACTTCTTAGGGTTTTTTTAAGTAGGTGCTTTGCTCAAATGTTCTGACTCTGGGGTCAGAATTTCAGAGTGTTAGACCGTGGCATGAGGAGTGTGTGTAAAATAGCTGAGTGTTGAGAATTGATGCCTTGAGAAGCAGATTCCATAGATAGAAACGTGTACAGTCTTACTGAAGAGGAATTCTTCTCAGTCTACCAGTCTTCATTTGCTGGATCAGTCACATATGCAGGTAAAAAGTAAACAGACTGCATTTCTACGGGAAATAACACTTCTGATTCTAGAAAATTGCTTTAAGATAAGCATACTAAATAAATCTGAATGTTTTATGCTTTCAAGTTATTTATTCTATTGGTTTTCAGCCCAATAAACTTTGCTAATCCAAATCATGAGGGAACTGATGAGAAAAAAGGAGTGTGATACAGACACAGTCATTGATCATGTCTTTATGGAGATTTCACGTTATGTTTTCTTCAGCATTTACTACTTTACTGGAAGTTCCCTGCAAGAGGGATAACACTACCTAGGTGTGTGATATCTGCTGCTCTCTAATAGGGAATAGTTATCACCTGGGGAGGGTAGGGCCCTGAGCCACAGCCCTTACCTGCCTTATATTTTGGCCAGACCAGAGACTTTCTTTAAAGCTAAAATGGCTGCTATCCCTGGAGGTGGTGATACCATGGAGGTATAGATTTTGTGCTTTTTTTTTTTTTTTTAATGACACAGTAACACTAGTTTAATCAACAGGTGTCAGATAGGGTTTTGTGTGGGGGCTGGTGCTTGTTTTAATTGCAACTTCAGTTTCTAGTCTTGAGTATTTAGAAAGCTTTTTATGGTTTTTCTGGGGTAAGATAAGAAAATACAGTTCTAAAATCCCCCTTTTGGAGTCTTATGTTCTTAACATAATTCAATAACATATTGAATTCTTAATTTGCTTCTTGTTAGGTAATTTTTTCAGTGAGGTCAGAGTCACTGCCTTAAATTTATTAGAAGGGGGAGGGTATGGTACATCCTGCCAGTAGCTTTGTAGCTCCTGGTACTTCTTGTCTCTTCACGTTGCACTCTACATTGTGCCCAAGTTGGTCACATTAACTACCAAAATACTTTAGGCTCGGTTTGTGATGACTAAGTGAGAAAAAGCAACCCCAGGCAGACATCTGTTTGAAGTTGCTGCATTTCATTGCTAATGAAAGATTTTGAGTGAAGAAGGTGGCTGTCAAAAGGGGAGAAATACCTTTTTTTTGTGACTGAGAGACAAGAGAGAGGCTGTGCAGTGTCTGAGCAGCTGCTTTTAACTATTTAGTCTTTGTTTTGTAATTTTGAGGAAAAGCTTGTGGATCAACAAATACTGTACCAGGAGCTGCTGAGAGAGTAACCTTAGTTCTTTCAAGCGCTCTGCTCTTTTGCAGTGTGAAACTTCTAGGAGTTACTTGTATTTAAAAACTTATGAAAGTGTTTGTCCTTTAAATAGGATATCCGGAAATTCTTTGGCGTTGTGCCTCCTGGAAAGCGACAGGAGTGCCAGGCTGTGAAAAAGAGTGAGAAGATAAAAAATGGGGAAGGAGAATCAAGTGGGAAGAAGAGGGGAAAGGAAACAAAGGTGAGTGTTACTTTCCTTATTTGTAAGGTGCTTCATTTCTTGATTATGCAATTGTTTGTATTGTTGTTTTTTAAAGTCATAACTTTAAAAACTTGGAACAGCTTGAAAATCTGTTTGATTTCCTTTAATTGGCATTAAAGTGGAGTATTTACTATCAGTATAATTGTCTACTGTTTACTTGGAGCATGCTAAACTTTGCTAGTGCAGTTAGTTCCTCATCTCCTCTCCCTTGCCCCTCATCCACCCCTACCCACGAGTTAGAAAAAGATAGTTCTTAAAAGTAATACTCATAAATAAATAATTTCTGTCAGAAATTATTTTAAACTCCTAAATTTAAGCTGATTAAAGGCTGGGAGGACCTGTTTGCTGGTTGAGCCAATGAATTGTTTCTTTTAGGTGAAGAGTTCACCCAGTGAAGATGTTCCCAAACAAAAGCAGGCACACAAGAAAAAAAGAATAATCTATGATTCAGGTGATGTTCATAGTTATTTCAGAATACTCCTTTCTATCTTCTGCATAATGGTTGATTAGGTAAATGCTACATCTGACAGAAAGCTGTGCTTGGTTTGTTGTAAATGCAATTAAAAACACTTTATAGGCAGCCCTGCTAGGGAAGGGAGGTATCTTTGGATGCACCAGTGATTTTTATTGCTTCACTGTAATAGTTGTTTGATAGTTAAAAATGATGGATGAGAACAGTGTGTGTCTTGCATGTGCATTTCTAACAAAGCCTCTGTTTAAAAAGTAAAATAAAAACTACTTGAAATAGTCAATTCTATTAAAATTCCAGAACTTCATGGTTATGAAGATATATAGACTATAGGGATTTTTAATTTTTCCTGCAGGTGACTGGTTGTGTATTGGTTTTCCTGCAGGAGACTGGTTGTATAACTTTAGAATTGCATAAACATATTATAGGAGGCTTTAAAAATGCTATATTGTATTTCAGTATGTGTCTGAGGTCTGGTATGTTTCAATCCCATAGTTTTAAATTTATTATATGGAACTTATTTCTTCCGTTACTTAAAACACTGATTGTAATTTTCTAAAAATATTATGTGTAATAATAAGGAAAATGCTTTTTATAGCACTCATAAATTAAAAACAAACAAATAAACAGCAGCAAAGGAATCACAAACCATTGACCTGTCAGATTAGTAGAAGTTCAAAAACCCTATTTTAATTTCACATTATTCCTATCTGTGATATCATTTAATCTCTGGCTGGCTTCTGAACATCTCTGAAACTGTCAAACTGACAGCAGGAGTTTCTACAATTCTTCCACTGAAGACTTTATCTTGAAGTTTTAGTGACTTAGTAAAGATGGATTCTTCTGTAAAAGAAAGGGGGTGACTCGCATCCGTCAGAATAATGCTATTATAAGCAGGCAGATGTGTTCAAATACACTGTTTTACAAACAACTTGTTGAAGGGAATAGCAGAAATATTTCTGTTTAGAGTTGGAGTACAAAGGTAATACATAATTCAACTTTTACCTTTAAATATTTGCACAATTTCACTTCAGTGCTGTTATTGTCAGATATTGCTGACTTTTGCCCATTAACAGTAGGAGAAGAGAAATTCTGTTCTGAATTCATAAAGATGGAGAAGTTGTTTTTAGAGAATAAAGTCAATTGGGCATGGATTTTTTTTCAATATATTTTTATATACATTTTCTGTTACTGTAATGTTAATTATATATTAGGACTTAATGTGGAAAAAGCTGGGCTTTGAAGTGTAACTTTCTGTTAAACGTGCTAGTTATGTCTGCTGCTTCAGCTTGTCCTGCGTACTTGTTTGGATGTTGGCGTATATCATCTTCAGTGGGATAGGTTTGTCCTCCTGGCAGCTTTTGGGATGTAGAGGATGTTGAGCTGAGTGTCAGCCTACCAGTGTTCTCCTGAGAAATGAAGGAATACAACTTCATTTATCTACTCTAGCCTGTTGATAGCTTTTTGAAATAGGTATTGTGGAACAAGCCAATACAGTATAATGCCTTATAAATTTAATCTGGCTAATGAATTTATGCTGAAGGTCCATTGTGATGAGGTGTGGGTTGTTTTTATAAGTTTTATTTTTAAAACTTGTTGTGGTAATCTGACAGTTGTACTCATTTTTGGAAGGGATTTTACACAGATGCAGCCATTTGTAAATGTGTAACAACATTTCCTTACACTTAACAAACAACCAAAAAAATTTAGAAGGATGAGGCTGTGCTCCGACCAGCCATGTAATACCTTTTTCTAACACAGCTGATTGTATGTGAACACATTAATTGATGTTAGAAGATTTATTACTTAAAGTCTGTATTGTATATGGAAAAATTTATGCTGTGGTCAAAATACAGATTCAGAAGAGGAGGTGCAGTCTGTGAAAAAAACCAAGAAGGCATCAGAGAAGAAAGCCGCTACTCCAAAACTTGGTAAAGTTCTAAAGCAGCATCCTGTTGTCTATGTTTCAGAGACAGGTAATGGAAATGTGATGCTTTGTGTGCAGTTGTAGTGGGGTGGGTTGCATCATAGGGTTGTTTGACTGATGTACTCTTAAATACTTGTAATAAGACCTCATATGGAGAACAAAAGATTATGTTTTCCTTAAGCTAACAAAAAGCACTTCTGAATTTTAGTCTCTGCTATTGTAAAGAGCAGTGTAATTCTGAGTAGTGATTTGAATTAGGCATGTGACTTCACAAGCTGGAATGTTTCTATTTGTTTCATAGCTCTAGAGGAGGCAGTTATGTACGAGATGCCTTTTTCATATAGTTAAGTTGTTCAGTAGCACATTTTGTGAAATGGTTGTTGGTTACCATAAGTAAGCTTGAAAATCTGGATTTTAATTTAAGTTTGTGTGTAATTTTCTGTGTCTTTAAACTTTGCAGAATATATTGGTGACTGCAAAAAAACCTTTTTTCCTCTCCTTTTTTTTTTTTTAATGTTATTGTCTGTTGGCCTCTTAGGAAGAACAGGACTTGGAAAAACCAATGGTAAAAAAAACTTGCATATGCCATGTATATACCATGCTCGTCTCTTGGATTTCAGCTTTCTAAATTATGGAGCTGTTTTTGCTTTTTGTGGGAATGAGTTGATATAACTGACCATTAATTATCATTAACCATTCTTGATCACTTGCAGGTCTTCTGTAGCCTTTTGGAAAAAATGTTCAGTGATTAACCACTATGTCCTGAGCTGAATTCTTGTTTAGATTTAGTCTTCTCTTTTAGTCTTAAACTGTAGAATTGAACCAAAACTAAAATCTTAAGTTATAAGTAATACCCTTCAATGGGAAAGTAAGGACAGACTTTCTTTGTAAAATGATTGCGTATTAATTTGTTGTGATGGTGGTTTGTGTGGTCACTGTTCCTTAGTATGACTTCTCAGTGTTGCTTTTTGTGTGATCCTTTCAGGTTTTCTTTGTTCTATCGTGAAGCTGTTTTGTTTACAACTAGTTACTTCTTCACATCATGCAGTTTCCCTTATTAAATTTGAGGTGTTATGGAAAAGTTGCTGATATTGGCTAGTATTGGTTGACAGGTAAACATCAGCTTATGTAGACTCGTCTTATTTGCGAATTGAGCATATTCAGTTTTGTGAACTCTAAAATTGATCTGTGGAAGCGAATTAACAGCTGTTCTGGTGTTTAATTTAATACTTCAGTACATCTTGGAGATAGACTTCATTTGGCATCTGAAAACATTTGGCTGAATGTATGTGAATGCATGTGTTGTCATGTGAAGAGTTTTTTGTTTTTTTTTCCTGAGAGTATTTGATATATTTGCAAGGATTTTTGCAACTTCTGGTTATGTTTTTATTAGTAATTATTATCCCATTGCATTTTCTGTAGGAGATCTTTTAGTGGCACTTAAGGGTTATGACTGTATATGGAGGCAAAAAGAATCCAGTTATTAAAACTGTGACACTTAACTAAGGTTCTGATTCCTGATTGACTGAATAACACAGATTGGAAGCATCTTAAATTTGATTCAGTTCCTCTTTGTAAGGTAAAGACTAAAAGTGTTCTGCTTCTGAATGGTGCACTGCTCAGAGCTGAGAGCTACTCATTTTAAATTCATTCATCTTATCTTGTTATGTTTGTTCTTTTCAGATTTGCTTTTAACACAAGTATATTTTTCTGCACTGGAGCTACTGTAACTTCACACTGATTTGTTGTAATGCAAACAGACTTAAGTATTTTGATGCCAAGTACTGGTTACCAGACTCGGATGACCTGTGCAAAAGCAACTGCAGTATTTCCCTAGAGTTACAACACTGTATGGACAGACTTTGGTCACAGAGGTATTCCTTATGTTTGCAGGGTATCTGCCTACGTCTTATTCCATGCTTCATCCAGTCTGAGTTTAGCTGAGGTTTTAACTATCAGGTCTTACACGTTTGTTTTGTGCTCTAGAGATCTTTACTAGCTGCAGTTCTTTCCTAGTATAGATTCCTAGAAACTGATTAAAGCCTGTGCAGTCTTGAATCCAAACCTTGGATAAAACATGTTTTATAAGTGTTAGATTTCCACTTCTTCTCTTAACCCTCTGAGTTTTGTTTGCTATGGTATCCAATTAGAGGTGTGACTCAGCTGGCTTTTTCCCTTGCTCTGCCTCTTTTCTTCTCCAGGCTGTCTTCATAATCTCTGTTTCTAAGATGGATTGTGCTTATTTTACTTGTCCTAGATATTTGACCAGGCATTTAGCTGTACTGTATCGTGTTGAGATGAACTCAATTTGCTGAGCTATCTCAAACACTTTTCCCATCTTGTTTGTTCCTATATTTTATTCAAAACTTAATTTCCTTTGATACTCTTCCTAATAAATTATAAAGAATATTTAATAGCATTGACCTTAAAATAGATAAATGATTGGATTCCTGGAGAACAAAAAGCATTGATTAGGTTCATGATGCAATTCTAGGTGATATAATCAAGCTTTTCTTCAGAGGGATATAATGGGAATGCTGGTCAAGGTTATTAGTGAAATCCCTGAAAACCATGGATCAGGGTTGCTCTTATGTAAAGACTGTAAAGTACACACAAGGTTGACTTAGTCTACATCTGAAACAGCATCTTTATAATCTTGAGGCTTAACTCTTGAATTTTGTTTGTACTGAATCTGTATAAACTGTTTCTTCAGCTTATTGGAGTTCGGGAGAGATTTCTGTCAAGTGTGTGACCCAGCTATTTGCTTGGAATAAATATCCTTCGTAAGTATAGGAGTATAGAAAAGATACTAATGACGTAGCCTTTAGGAACACTGAGTTTGGAGCAGTGTCCTCAAATGATTGAAAATGTCTTCTGGTATCAAGTAGTCACTGGAAACTTGGTAATCAGTTATCTCAACCAATTTTTTTTTTTTTTGGGGGGGGGTCTCATTTGAAACTTCTTGTGATTACCTGAATTTCTTTTCGAATCTCCTGTATAACTTTGTGGGATACGGTTTTCTTAAATACTGTTGCAAGAATTAGTTTCTGGTTTGTATAAGAGTGGAAGTATTAGCTTGTGAAGTTTATTTACTTATTCTAGAAAGGTAAAAACAAAGCAGGAATAATTACTCTCTGGTTCTGTAAGAAATACTTTGTTACTGAAACAAACTTAATGCTTATTTGAATTAATGATAGCCAGGGGTGAAGTGAAGCTATTCTGGCAGGTAACAAGGAGTGGTGGGGTGGGGAAGCCTGCCTTGTGGTAGAACAGTAGAGGGGATTAGGAAAAATCCAAATGTTTGTTGTACTTGTTAAATAGTCAAACAGTGTTATTTTAAAGAAGTGTGGAACCTTGGATTTTGTTTGTGGAAGATGACCTGTTGTTATGATGCAATGAACCTTACCTGGTTTCATCATAAGTGGCTGTTTGGCAGGAATTGTGACTTAATTTGCTTTTGGTGAACAATAATCTTTCTTACATACTGTGCAAAACAGTATTTATGTATGTGTAGCAATTGCTTTGACAGTCTGAATATCGTAAAATACAATTTATTTATTTTATAAGGCCTTATTCTAGGTGCTAGGCTGGATTACTCATGAAGTTAGGAAAATGGAAGTTGGTAGAAAGTGAGTAGGATGGCAGGTTACTGGAATGCCATTCCTCAAGGATTAGAAGATAGGGCAAAAAAAGCATAACTTGCCATTGTGTTGGCTGAATATCAATTCTTTTCGTACAGAGGATATCAAAAGAGAAGACAAGGAAAAAAAAGGAATAAATGCTGGTGTTAGTGACCAAGAATCTCCCGAATCCAACCACTAGTTCAAAGTAGCAGCAGATAGCGAATAAACATGTTTCATGTTGAAACATCTCATAGGGAAGTAAAAAATCTCACTTTTACATTCTGAGCAATGTTAGTGTTGTACGCACTTACAGGAGTTGCTGTGCTTATGGAAAATAGTGAAAGTGGTAAAAAAGGTCTTCATGAAGCATCTTCCCTTTATCAGAGTTTATGAAAGGTCAGTCAAACCTCAAGGAAGTTTGACTTAAAATACACCTGAGGAAGGATAGTATGGGTTCTGGGAGAAATTCTATGGAGAAACAGGGACTGGTGTAAAAAGTGTGTAGGAGCAAGCAATGTGGAAATTAATGTATTTAGGTGCCTAGGTGCTTGATGTACTTCTTAAAACTTGATGATATGCCTCGTTTTTCCTTGCGTGAATCTGCGAATACCAGTAGAACAACAGAAGGGTCCTGTAGTAATTCAGAAATAGCAAGAGCATTTTTGTAAGTGTAAATGAATCTGACTCTTTCAGGGCAGTGCACTGTGTACAGCAGTGCTCATTATAAGCTAGAACTGTAAAAGGCAGTACTTAGCTATGGTTGAAGTAAACTTTGCACTCAACTATATATAATTTTTCAGAAAATAAAAAGCAGAACTTCTGAAGTTCTTCCACTTCCAATGGTTTGCTTTAGACCCTCCCCATTTCATTTTTTTTTAATACTTACACATTACTGTAAGCATATTTTAACTATTCGGTAGATTTAATTTGAGCAATAAAATTGGCTGGGTGAATTTCACTGGTTCACACCGTCCTTCATGGACTTTCTGTGACTGTTATGCTTCTGAGATTCTTGTGGGCTTGGAAAAAGCATAGCACTTACTGAAAATGTCATTTTTGGATCTTCTGATACAGCCACTTAATAGGGGCTTTTTCAGTTCCATTATAGAGCATATGCATTCGTTCTGTCTTTTGTAATAGTTATTGCTGTGTTGAGTGCTAATAAAGTTTTCTGGAGTTAGTTACGCTCCTAGGCATTAAAGTTGCAGTTTTTCTGTGGATTTTTGAGGCTTAGTAAAAATACAACAAACTAGCAAAACTGCTTTTAGAATTCAAAGTATCTCTTAAGGGGTGTGCAGTCTGTCTTTACCCAGTCAACTTGGAATAAAGCTATATTCAACAAATCATTGTGTTAAGAAAACAACAGACCATAATTTATTTAGCCTATAACAATGAAAGGGAACTTCCCTGACCTCAAAGACATGGA